CAGGAAGTCAAGTGATCAAGTGATGAAGTGAAATAAATAAATAAATAAATAAATGATAAAATTGTTTTAAGTGCGTAAAAAAAAAAAAAGAAGTTTTACTGGATCATCGTGAGATACAGTTACAAACTGTAACTGTATCGTGAGACACAGTTACAAACTTGCATGATTACATTCGCGGCAAGCAATGCTCAGCGCCCACCCATCCTTCTCCTTTCCCACCTTTCCCACCACCATCACTCCCACTGTTCCACCCGCCACCCCCACCCCACCCCACTCCCTGCCTCTGTGGCCGGCACCGTCCTTCTTACTCTCTCTCTCTCTCATTTGGGGTGTTATGATTTGCAATACAGACACCTAAGAGGCCATCGTGTTCGGTCCTCGACCTACTTTCAGCACGCGTCTCCCCTACTGGGGGGGTGGGATCCCTCCGACCATCATTGACTTCGTGGTTCCTTCTCCGTTCCAACTTTCTGCTCATTCTTCATCAGCAGAAACTGGTCCTGAGTTCAAACCCGGCTTATTCTGGGCAGCTGGTGGGCGTGGGGGGCTGGGGGCTCTCCGCAGAGGGGGGTCAGAGCGGGTGTGGTCGTTGCTGGCGCCACGGAGTGCCAGATTGGGCCCAGTTCTCTTGCTTGCTCGCTCACTCGGGCTGGGCCGGGTGATTTGGGTGCAGTGTGAGCCCCAACCTTCACACCGGCTCTCTCCCTGCTGGCAGCCGGCCCGGCCCAGCCAGCGCTGCTGCTCCTCTGGGTTGTTTTACAAGGGAGCACTCCAAACAGTGCTCGGAGGGGCCCAGCAATTCTCAGTCAGGGCTGGAGGGTTTGGTGCCAGGGGGGGATGGGGGCATCCCGATAGGCCCAGTGGGCACCCAGCGATGCTTGGGGACCGTGTGGTACCAGGGACTGAACCCAGGTTGGGCACATGCCAGGCATGAGCCCTAACCACTGAGCTATCTGCCCACTTTCACCCTTGCTCCCCAGCCCCCAGTGTGCCCTGTGTGCATGGGCCCTTTGCTGTGGAAATCTGGAAGTGCTGGCCGATGGGGTCACCTAAGGACACATGGCTCCCAGAATCCTGGAACCCCTGGGCACCTCTCAGATCAGTATGTGACCTTTAGCGGGACAGGAAGTGGCTCACGAGTCCCAAAGCATAATCACACACCTGGCTCCCGGAGGAAAGGCAGGCTCCTCCATGGTCACGTGCCCCTTCAAGGGGGTAATCATGGGGTGGGACCTGCCTCCCGGCCCCGAGGGGACACAGGACCCTGGAAAAGTGTGGTGGGGTCACTGTCACCTGATGCCGTTGGGCCAGCCAGACCCAGTCAAGCCCATTTCCTGAAGGGTCATGGTCCCGGGAGGCATGGGGGCAGAGGTGAGGGGTAGACAGGCTCTCAGAGACCCTCAGAGCCGCTTGAACATTCAGCTGCAGGGGGTTGAAGGCTTTGGACTTCATCTCAGCACACAGTACTCAGCGGTGGGGTTCTCGGGAACCCCAGCACTACGGGAGAAAGTGAGAGGCCCCGAGATCACAGGGACCCAAACACATCACTCCCCACCCGGCATCAATTGGGCTCCGTGAATCCTGTCCTTGCCTCCTGGGACACCCACCAGGGTCTACCCTCACCTTCTACTCCCATGGGGGGCTCGGCAGCGAGAGGCACACGGGTTTCTGACCCCCCACCCCAAGTCCTTCTGGAACCACCACTCAGGGAGGCGTCAGAGAGGGCAGCAGCTCAGCCCTCCCCAGGCCACGTAACACCCATGGCCACATGACGTCTGTGGCCCAGGTTCCCGCGAGCAAGCACGTCACAACCCCATTCAGGTTCACCTCCGTATCCTCAGCACGGAACCTTCTAGAGGATATGGGACCTCACCAGCAACCAAGGAGCCAGACCCAGGAAGGACCCCATGGCTTTGGATGCCTGGGGCCAGGCTACAAAGTGCCACCAGCCATAGCCTTCGGGGAGTATGTCCTTAGGCAAGGGGCCCAGGGGGTGCCCAGACCAGGCAGGGCCCGTGTTGGGGACCCCAGTTGGAGGCTGATGCTTAGCACCCCCTAAAGGGCGAGCACAGGAACGAGTCGGTCAAGGTGCGGCAGGTTAGCCAGACCAACATGGCGGGTGCTCAGACGTGTCCACTGGGATGAGCAAAGGGTCTGGATTCAAAGTCAGCCCCCAACACTCAGCGCCCGATGGAGAACACTGGACCTGACCCAGAACACCAGAGGTGAAGGACTGAAGGAGGAGCAGAGCAGAGACCCTTGAGACCCCCACATAGGCCCTGCCCTGAATGGGGACCAGCAGTTGCCCTCACTGGACACCAGGGAGCTCCCTCCTGCCCCACCGAGGGACACCTGCAAAGGACTCTGGAGTGGGACTTGCTGGCCTCTGGGGCCCAGTGACCAGCCAGCTGTGATGCCCCAGCGCTGTGAGACCGTTCCTGAGCTCTGATTTTCCTTCCTGAATTATGTGACTGGCCTGGGGTGGCCACGACAGTGGACATTCACACTCGGAGCTTTTGCTTTCCTGGGTTTTACTGTGGGAAATCAAGACCTTGCCATCCAAAGTACCCTGCCATTTGCTTTTCATGCTTAACTAAGTTTCCTCCCTCCAACCCTCTCCAAGCAGATGGAAGTTCTGCATGCCAGACCTTCAACAGGAGACCCAGGGCTTGGCCATGCCCTGACCTGTGGCCATCAGAGAAAGATCCTCAAACATTCCTGTGAATTCATCTTTAGGGAGCACTCCCAGAGGGGCAAGCATTGGGTCAATGAAAGCGGGACATTTGCTTTTAGCTGCTACTCTTCCTTTTCTGGTGAGGGTGTGTGTGTGTGTGTGTGTGTGTGTGTGTGTGTGTGTGTGTTGCGAAAGGGGGTGGGGCCACACCTGGTGACATCCAGCACTACTTCTGGCTCTATGCTTGGCGGTTGCTCTTGGTAACAATCGGGGGAACCATATGCAATGTCAGCGATTGAACTTAGAGGGTCCCATGCAAGGAAAGTGTCTCACCCCGGTGCCAGGTTCCTGGTAGTTATTTTCTTGCCATATTCCATGAACTCTGAGGTCATTAGGATGCCCAGCATATGTCCACACCGGGACTCCCTTCTTATCCTCTACTTCCTGTGGGTCCGAAGCCAGCTCCCCACTCATTCCTCCTTGCCTGGGCTTCTGGTCTTGGATCTGAATCTCTCCTCCGCCTGCTGGGTCATCTCCCGGGTCCATCTCCCACCCAGCCGTCTTTCTCTCCCTAATTTTTTTTGTTTGTTTTTTGGGTCACACGTGGTGATGCACAGGGGTTACTCCTGGCTCTGCACTCAGAAATCACTCCTGGTGGTGCTCAGGACATCATATGGGATGCTGGGAATCGAACCTGGGTCGGCTGCGTGCAAGGCAAACGCCCTACCCACTGTGCTATCTCTCCAGCCCCTCTCCCTAATATTTAAGATTGCTTCTCTGTCGAGTCCTTCAGCCTCTCCTCCTCCACAAACACTTCCCCAGCCTACCATGCATCATGGGATGCATCACAAGCGTCTTCGCCTTAAACAGCTGTTTTTGTGAAATCAAAAATGCTTATCTTTCATCATGCCTCAATTTCTGGCTTTAAGTGAGGTTCTCCTCCCCTCCATGGGGTTTATCATTGTTTTTTTTTTAAATATGTATTTAGTTTCTAAACTAAAAAACCAAATGCATATTTAAAATACATTGCTGTGGGTCTGAAGCTGGTCGTCATCTATGCAAAATAATGGTAGAATACAATTCCTACCCTTATTTATTTATTTATTTATTTATTTAAGTTTAAAGCACAAACTAGCCCAGAGGGACTGAGCAGGGAGCAGAGGGCAGGGCACTGGCCTTGCATGTGGCCTACCTGAATTGGATCACTGCCTTGACATCTGTCCCTCAAGCCCCACCAGGAGTGATCCCTGAGTGCAGGGCCAGGATTAAGCCCTGAGCACCTCTAGGTGTGGCCTCCCAAACCAAAACTGTAGCACTGTAGCACTGTCCTCCCGTTGTTCATCGATTTGCTCGAGCAGGCCCAGTAATGTCTCCATCGTGAGACTTCTTGTTACTGTGTCTGGCATATCGAATCCGTCACGGGGAGCTTGCCAGGCTCTGCCGTGCGGGCGAGATACTCTCGGTAGCTTGCCGGGCTCTCCGAGAGGGGCAGAGGAATTGAACCCAGCTCAGCCAGGCCAGCTGAGTGCAAAGCAAACGCCCTACCACTGTGCTATCGCTCCAGCCCAACTCCTTCAAACCAAAACAAATAAATAAAAATTTAAAAGCACTAAATAAGGAGTTCCTACAAGATCTACCAAACGACGGTCTCCGAGTCCCTCCTCAGAGAGAGGAAGGAAGTGGTCACTAGAATTTCATGTGCTCTACGGAGAATTTCCAAAGGCAACACAGCCGTTCCAGGGCACCTTGCCATTCCCCCTTGGATCTTTGTATTTAAGCTGAAAAATCAACAGAAGCACATGGGCTGGAGCCTGGGTCCTTCAGAATCCCTACCTCCAGGTACAGAGAGAAGCGGTCTCCAAGATGATACAGGGTAGTGTGTGGGGTGGGGGAGGGGAATTCTACGTAACAGCTGTGAGCAGAGTCTGTATGCACTGAGCAAACAGCCCCCAGCACTGCGTATGGTACATTACACACAGTCCCCATGACCCCACATGCCCCACACTACCAGCCCTCAGCCCTCCACCACATACTCCTCGAAAGTAGATTTTGGCTGCTCTGCTCTGGTTCCAGCCCCACCTAGCACTGGGCAAACATAGCACTGAGGTCATGGAGCAAGTACTCAAACACGTGACCAGCAGGGGGCGCAAGTACCCAAACGCGTGACCAGCAGGAGGTAGCAAGGACCCAAACTGACCAGCAGAGGGAGGGAAGGACTCAAACTGACCAGGAGGGGGAGTCAACGACCCACACTGACCAGCAGGGAGAGTATGTACCCCAACAAGTGACCAGGAAGGGACGGCAAGCACTCGATGTGGAGGCGTACCCAAACATGGCGACCAGCAGGTTGACCAGCAGGATGTTGGTGGACAGCATGTAGATGCAGACCAGGGGGATGGTGATCCACTCGGGGAAGCGGGGCAGGTTGTGCTCGTCCAGCTCCACACACAGCGGCTTGGACTCGTTCCCGGTGAAGGTGCAGTGGGAAAAGTCGTACGTGGTACCTGGGGGCAGAGAGATGGGCGGCAAAGTGGCACCCCTCCAGGGACCCCGCCGTGGCTTCTGGGGGCCACTGCTGACCATCAGGTGGAGTCTTGGTCACTGTTCTCGGGGGGCTGCCTCTGGACCAGCGGAATTGTCGAGGACTCGGTCCTGCCAAACAGGTGCCTAACAGCAGGTCAGGCGTTTGCCTTGCATGCAGCCAACCCGAGTTCGATCCCCAACATCCCATATGGTCCCCTGAGCACCGCCAGGAGTGATTCCTGAGTGCAGAGCCAGGAGGAACCCCTGTGCATCGCCAGGTGTGACCCTATCACTGTCACTGTCACTGTCACTGTCACCCGGTTGTTCATCGATTTGCTTGAGCAAGCCCAGTAACATTGTGAGACTTCTTACAATGTTACAGTGTGACCCAGTAACATTGTGTTATTGTTACTGTGTTTGGCAGTGCGGGCCAGATACTCTCGGTAGCTTGCCGGGCTCTCTGAGAAGGACAGAAGAATCAAACTCGGATTGCCAATGTCGGCCGTGTGCAAGGCAAATGCTCTACCCGCTGCGCTATCACTCCGGCCCCAGATGTGACCCAAAAAGCAAAAAAAAAAAAAAAGTTGCCTAAGATCTGGCTCTGGTGCCCCTGCCAAAGAGACCGATGTAGAGGGCTGACTCTGGGCACCCTGAGCCGTGGACACGAGTAGCCTCGCTTGGACCCAGTCCCTGTTGTTTGGCCACACAAATCCTCCAGCCTATCCCATGGGGAACACAGCATCTCCTGGGACTGTGTAAGAAACCCAAACCCAATTAGACTGGCCATATTGGAGAACAAAGAGAAGGACGCCCACCATCTGGGCGCCCGCAGAGCTCCCTGGGGGTGGAGGGACTCAGCCTGGGCTGCAAGAGGCACAGTGGGGAGGGAGCATCGAACCCCCCACTCCCAGCGAGTGGAGACGGGCTAGTACGAACAGAGATGCCCCCTGTCAGGTTGATGTAGGCAGGTAGATAGGGAAAGGCTCTCTGCAATGAAACAAAGTCTCATAGAAGAATTCTAGGACCAAACCACCCTGTGGAGACAGAGAATAAGGACTTGATAAGACCATCCCCAGACCCTGAAGATATGGGCCTCCTCCCCATGAAATTCCTCCTTTCCGAGAACCCCCTTTCAATCCGGTTGACTCCAGCGACCCAGCCCCAAGGAGATTCCAGGACATTCCAAGTCAGATGACTCTCGAACCCGCTTTCTATCCGGTTGACTCCAGCGACACAGCCCCAAGGAGATTCCAGAACATTCTGAGTCAGAAGGATCTATAAGAACCAGCTCGAGAGCCCACTTGGCGCTCTCTCCACCCTCGGAGAAGCCCGCGTTCCCTCTGGACGTGTTACTCTCTCTCTCTCTCTTACTCTCTATTCCCCCGCTTATCTGCTTATCCCTTCCTCTCCCTCTCCAAAAGCCTCCAAATAAAACCTGTTACTTCACTGCTCGTCTACTCCTGAAATTCTTTTCTGCGAGCGAGACAAGAACCCCAGAAACCTCGGGTAAGGCTTGGGACTGGTCTCTCCTTTCCTGCAAAGAGCAAATTCTCGCCCCAGCTTGAGTCCGTGGCTCCCCGAGCAATCGGGTGGCGGGGATTAACTCCCGTGCCGAGAAGATCAAGCGGACTTCAGGTGTGGCTTGACGGCCACCTCGTGGGGCTGGCGGGGCTCAGGCCCGTGCCGAGCAGGTGCTCACTGCAGACTTTACCGGTCCTAGCCTACCCAGGGTTCCGGGTGGCAGAGGCGGGTGAGGAGAAAGTGGCTGTCTTTCTCCTCCCCACTTCACATAAGTCACCCGTGGGGCCCACCGACATCAAGGTGAGGTCTTCCGACAGGAACAGCGGAGGGTGGTTAGTGGGCCCCGAGAAATAGCGGAACGGACACTCCGTAAGACCCAACCAAGAGGGGCTGAGCAGGAATGAGAAAGCCAAGGCACCAGACCCAAACCCGGAGCATCGGACTGTCTGCTGGTTCAGTGGAAGGCAGCTGAGCTCCCCCTGGAATCAGAGAAGATGGAAGCAGGGCAGGGCAGGTGAGGTCTTGACCCCACAAGCCCCCAGCGCCTCCGGGCGTCAGATAGTGAAGCCCCCAGGCTGAGCAAAGGGGGAAAGGCAGAAAGTTTCTCTGCAGCTCACTCCCACCACAGGGCGGGAACCAGGAGCCAGCAGGAGCACCAGGAAGCCCCCTGCCCCTCCCCCACAAGAGCCACGTCGGCAGGCTGTGAGGGGCCAGGGCGGGAGGGGGATGGGCTGCATCTCAAGGACATTTTGGACACCGAGCAGCCAAACAAGCCGGTGCCACAGCTGGGATCTGCAGGATGAAATCGCAGGCGGCAGGAGAACTTCGCATTGAGAGTTCTGATTTGCATAAAGACTTCTGTTTTGCATAAATAACTCCGATTTGCATAAACCCTCTGCTTTGCATAAAGACCTCTGGTTTGCAGGAAAAAAAGCCGTCTGATTTGCAGAACGGTGTGGCTGGTGGCCACAGCCTGGAAGGAGGAGCTCAGAGTCCTCACGGGGGTTGGGGACAGCACAGGGTTAAAGGCACATGTGGTCAGCCTCAGTGTGATGGGCCCTGGAGCATGACTGGGGGACCAGGGCAAGAGGGGTGGGTCATGTCTGCAGCCAAGAGGGACCCATGACAGGAAGAGGATGTGCTGGATCTTTGGGACAGTTTGGACCTGCAGCATCAGACCCTGGAAGCTCCCTAGGGAAGCCCTGTGTAGACAGCACCCTTCTGGGGGACCAGGCTTTGGAAGCCTCTCTCCAGGGCACCCTCAGAAATGGTTGAAGGGCTGTAGGAGGCCTTGGGCATCATGGAGTCATCAGAGATGCCTGACATGAGACAGGCAGGGCAAACAGATGACCCCAGGACCATATGTCCTCGTAGGAAAGAGTGTGGCAGACCCAGGCTCCTGGCCAGCCTTGCACACGGGCTACGGACAGCTCATTCCAGACACACACCAGTGGGCAAATGTCCCTAGGGTCCTGGGCACGGGTGGCCTCATACCATCCGGGCCCCCAGGAGCCTCCGAGGCTGCCGGCAGAGGGCTCATGGGAATTTTACACCCCAAGTTTCAGAATTGGCTGTAGGAACAGACACCGAGTCACTCTGTTATGGGGACAGTCCAGCCTGCATACTCCTGTTTGAGCGGTGGGGAGTCCACACCTAGCTGTGCTTGGGCGTTACTCCTAGCTCTGTGCTCGGGAATCAGTAACTTGCACACTGATTAGTACCTCTCAGGGCTGACCATGCCTGGCTGCTGAGGAGAACATGAGTGGTGTAGGGATTACAGGCAGGTCCTTGGAAAATTTTTTTCATCATCATTTCATTTCATCATCCTGTTATTCGTCGATTGCCTCGAGCAGGCCCCAGTAACGTCTCTTTCATCCTAGCCCTGAGATTATATTCAAGGCTATTTAGGAGAATGAGACCCATCATTGTTACTGGTATTTGGCATATTTGGTATGCCACGGGGAGTTTGCCAGACTCTGCCCTGTGGGCAGGCTACATTCGATAGCCTGCAAGTTTGTCCAAAGTAGGAAAGAGACAATAAGATGTCATAAAAAAAAAGTTTTGATAAGATGTCGCGCGGCCGCAAATGCGGCCGCGCGGTTCCGGGATCTGGATTTTTATTTAATAGAGGAGAGATTTTTCAAAAGAAACCGTAAAACTTAATCTACCTCATGATCCAGCAATTCTGGTCCCAAGTATCTGTCCAAAGAAGACGAAACCAAAACCAAACCCCCACGAGGTTGGAAAGCCTGAGGCACACCTAGGCTCACTGTCGCCCGAGAAGCCAGAGCCCGGAACGAGCTGCGTTCCCAGGGATCGGGCCCTGCACATAACGGCTGTGGTCTGTGTATGCAGAGGAAAACTAGGCGGGAGGAAAAAAAAGAACGTCTGGCCTTGGGCCACACCATGGAGACAGTCATGCTAAGTGTAACAAGTCAGAAGGAGAAGGTCAGGGTCGAGGCAGGCTCATCGTGTGTGGGACAGAGAGCAGCAAAGCACCGGACAGGCAGTGCTCAGTGAAAACCAACCTGCACTCGGACAGAGAGGAGGATGGGGGCAGGGTGGGGACCAAGGCATAGAGGGGGCTGAGGGATGGTGGGAACTATTGGTACCTGAGTGATGGGTGTGGTGGGAAGACATTTAGAAGAGTCGTGAATTGGTGTCCCCTGAAGAGTCTAAATAATTAGATATTACTATAATACATCACACATGGTAAGGTAAAAAGGTAAAGGCCCTCCCGTTGATCGTCGATTTGCTCGAGCGGGCCCAGTAACGTCTCCATTGGAGACTTTGTTGTTACTGTGTCTGGCATATCGAATACTCTCGGTAGCTTGCTGGGCTCTCCGAGAGGGGCGGAGGAATCGAACTCGGGTCGGCCTTGTTGGCCGCTTGTAAGGCGAACGCCCTACCGCTGTGCTATCACTCCAGCCCGTCACACATGGTAATATAATATATTCTATATTAATATAACATGTATATTAATTATATTAATTATACACGTTATATTAATATAGGGTTTGGAGCAATAGCACAGCGGTAGGGCCTTTGCCTTGCACGCAGCCAGCCCGGCCGAGCTGGGTTCGATTCCTCCGCCCCTCTCGGAGAGCCCGGCAAGCTACTGAGAGTATCTCACCCGCATGGCAAAACCTGGCAAGCTCCCCGTGACATATTCAATATGCCAAACACAGTAACAACAAAGTCTCAAAATGGAGACGTTACTGGGCCTGCTCGAGCAAATCGATGAACAGGAGGACAGTGTGGGCGGTGACAGTGTATATTAATTAATAAAGTAATATAAATGGCACAGCAGGTAGGGTGTTTGCCTTGCACACGGCCGACCGTGGTTCGATTCCTCCGTCCCTCTCCAAGAGCCCGGCAAGCTACCGAGAGTATCCCATCCGCACGGTGGCAGAGCCTGGCAAGCTCCCCATGGCGTGTTCAAAATGCCAAGAAATAGTAACAACAAGTCTCACAATGAGACGTTACTGGTGCCCGCTCGAGCAAATCGATGAACAACGGGAGGACAGTGCAACAGTGCAGTGCTCATGTATGTTATCTGTGTGGGTGCCTATGTGCGCTTCTAAACCGATGTTACCTTGGTTAAAGCGCTTTAAGATCGCAGACTGCAATGCCTGACCTTTGAGGGCGGGTGGACGCGAAGGTCAACTCAGAGGCAAAGAACAGGGTTCAGGTGAGTGCTTAGTCCCCGGGAGGTGGACCTCACCCAAATGACCATCCACAGTAGCCCCCGCGGGTCCCCCCAGCCCCCCCCCGGCCACTCACTGTCCACGTCGCTGGGCACCTGGCCGAACATGGCCAGGTAGGGCTCGTAGATGACGGAGCGGAAGATCCAGCGCCAACGCTGCTCGTTCTGGCGCAGGATGCCCTGGCGGGCCACGCCGAAGGCCACCATCCACACGGCGAAGAGGAACAGGAAGAAGAAGACATCGATCAGCTGTCGGGAGGAAGGGGAGAGGGTCTGGCCCGGCCCCGGGCCCTGACTCGGACCTGAGCACCCCGGGGCCTGGATGTATGTTAGAAATGGGATCACTGGCACTGGAGCAATAGCACAGTGGGGAGGGCGTTTGCCTTGTACGCGGCCAACCTGGGTTCGATTTCCAGCATCCCATAGGGTCCCCTGAGCACTGCCAGAAGTAATTCCTGAGTGCAGAGGCAGGAGGAACCCCTGAGCATTGCTGAGTGTGACGCAAAAAGAAAAAAAAAAAGGAGAAAGAAAAAGAAAAAGTAAAAAAGAAAAAAAAGAAAGAAAGAAAAGAAATGGGATCACTCACTGACACCCCAGATGGTCCCAAGTCCCACCTGGAGCGATCGTGAGCACAGAGCCAGGAGTAAACCCTAAGTGCAGAGCCAGCAGGAGGAACCCCTGAGCATTGCTGAGTGTGACGCAAAAAGCAAAAAAAAAAAGAAAGAAAGAAAGAAAGAAAGAAAGGAAAAGAAAAGAAAAGAAAAGAAAAGAAAAGAAAAGAAAAGAAAAGAAATGGGATCATTCACTGACACCCCAGAGGGTCCCAAGTCCCACCTGGAGCAATCGTGAGCACAGAGCCAGGAGTAGGCCCTGAGCACTTCCGTGTGAGGGTCCAAAAAAAACAGAAATGGCCGCCATAGGGGCTGGAGAGAGTACAGGGGCTAAGGCACTTGCCTTGCACGTAGCCACCCCGGTTCGGTCCCCTGCACCACAGAGGGTTCCCTGAGCACTGCCCCGTGTGGCCCAAACACCCCCCCCAAGTCCCCCGAGTGGGCATCCGGGGTCTCCAGACTCTCATTTGCAGCATCCCAGGGTGCACGGCAGTGGGGAGCAGAGCAGAGGTTCCCAGGAGGGGAGTTTGGGGTGATTCCTCGCAGCCAACACTCTCCCCGAGACAGTGAGCACCCCGGGGGGAGCCCTCCCGTCTGCAAGGCCCCCACACGCCCTCAGCTCTCTTTTTAGGAAATTCACGGTCTTTCTTATTGTTTGTGTGCGCAGCCTGGCTCCATGGAGACGGGGCCTCGGCTATGCTCGGAATTAAAACCACACGCCCAGCGCCTCCGCCCTGACCAGACACGGCAGCTGAGCTCACCCCGAGCCCCAGCTGGTCTGGACCAAAGGAGCAGCGCGTGCGGGTCGTCTGGGCCATCTGAGAGGCCAAACTCCTCCTCCCAGCGTCCCGCTGCACCTTCCCCTGCTCCAAGCGCACTAGCTCTGCACAAGCGTCAGAAACCCCTAGGACTCGACTTCCCAAATCCACACAAACAGAGTATAAAAATCCCCTCCAGGGGCTGGAGCAATGGCACAGCGGGGAGGGCGTTTGCCTTGCACGCGGCTGACCTGGGTTCGATGCCCAGTATCCCATAGGGCCCCCTGAGCACTGCCAGGAGTGATTCCTGAGTGCAAAGTCAGGAGTAACCCCTGTGCATCGCCGGGTGTGACCCAAAAGAGAGAGAGAGAGAAAAAAAAAATCCCTTCGTGCCTCTAGTCTAGACAATCGTTACACTCTATCGAGTGCATCGGGGAGAACCGAGGCAGGGTTTTAGGGACACCCCAAAGACAAGGTGGCTCTTCGGATGACACTCACCTCATTCGACCAGGCTGGACCCCTGGTAGAACCAAACCCAGCAGAGGCAAACCTGAGTGACCACGAGCTGCAGTGGACCCCCTGCGCCCCATTCCCCCCTCCATCAGCCATGCCGGGGAGCAGAGTGGGCGCCCCGAGATTCCGTCTCACCATCCGCTGCAGCATGATGATCTTGGGCCCCAGGTTCCGGCTGACCGTGAAGATGTGGATGAGGCGGAGGGTGAAGATGATGTAATCCAGGCAGAAGATGACGCGGCCTGAGTACAGCGAGGTCTTGTCGGAGGGGTGAAGGCTGGAGGAGGAGGCGGCCACGGTGAGCTGCTGACCACAGGGTCCCCGTCCAGGAACAGGCCGTGCGGAGAGCCTGGGGGTGAGTCTGGGCAGCCCAAGGACCCTCCCAGCACTGCCCGGGGGTCCCCTCTCTGCCGGTCCACCAGCCTTCCATGACCCCGTTCTGTCGGATGATGTGATGGGCTCAGCCCTTGCTGGTGAGCTCAGCGACCTGGGAACCACATGTGTTTGCTAGCTGGAATGTTCTAGAATCCCGGTTACAGTGTCTCCAGATGCTGGCCCTCCGGTCCACGTGGCAAGCCAGGCTCCGGGAAGGGGACTGAGCTCTAGAGAGCCAGAAGCCGGGCTGCAAGCAGGAATCACCCCGCTGCTCACACCCAGACATGCCTCCAGCCGTACCCTGATGCTGTGGTTCAGGATGGGCCTCGATTTCCCCATCCCCAGAGCTGGTTGCAGCACAGGGGGGCTCTGGGAGGAACTGGGCCCGTGAGGGGAGGCAGAAGCAGAACAAGTGCTCTGGAGTCTTGGCAAGCTGAGGCGTCTACTGTCTTACTGCCCTCCCGCAGTCCCCAACCCTCAGCCCTCGGGTGCCCGGTGAGCACCCAGCAGGTGGGATGCCCGGCGGGCTTCCCGGAGGAAGAGAAAGGCTCGTGTCAACCACACCAGGCAACCCAAAGAGGCAATACGGTCCTCAGGAGGAGCCTCATGCAGGAGGGACGTACCTTGACGAAGATGCATCAAGACCAAGACCCTCCCTTCACTGTCTGACCTGGGAAGCCCTCCCCAAGTCCCCCACACAGGTGTGGTGGGGAGCACACTCTGGAGGCCCCCCAGACCACCGTGTGGTGAAGAGCCTGCACCGGAAGCCCCCAGACCCCTGCGTGGTAGGGAGCACGCACCGGAAGACAATGCCAGCAATGAAGTAGAACAGGCCCAGCGTGTCCATGACGTTCCATAGGTCGGTGAAGTAATTCACACCATTCATGTACCACTGCAGCAGCAGGGAGAGAGGGTGTGAGCAGGTGGTGGCCACTTCCGGGTATCTGAACAACCCCCGCTCCACCCCCCACCCCCCTAGAGCCTTTCTGAGCCTATAATGTGCTCAGTGAGCTACCCCCAGGCCTCTGCTACCCTCCACACCACCACGTCTCCGAGAGATGCCAGATGGGCACAAACATGCTCGCAGTTGGCAAAGCCCCTCCCCTGCCCCCAGAGACCGAGCACGCAGGACAGCGCCCGCCCCACCAAAGCCTCCATTCTCACTACCCAACTAAATACTCTGGATTTTTCTGGGGCGTGGCCGCATTCGCTGTGTGACATCTTCAAACTCTACAACCCCGACATCTCGGGACTAGCACACCAGGTTGGTCGGGATGGGGCGTGGAAGCCAATCACTCTCAACACACAAAACCAGGACCACAGAAGCCTGAACTCGCAACGGCAACTTAGCAAACCCTCAGACAAGGACTCAATGTCCCCATGGCGAGATGCGACAATCCTCACAAACGTTCCTCTACGGAAATATTTTTAATCGTTCCGCGAGCCACTTCGTGGGAACGAGCAATACAGAATAAGTGACTGCGGGCCTGCTAACGGGGGCAGCTGGAGGGGTGGTGGGAAGATGGAGACGGGGTGGAGAGAAGGGGACATGGGGGCGGGGTGGGTGCTGGGATATGAATGCCTGCGACAGTCATCACGAACCACTCTGTAAACTGCCGTGTTTAAACACAGGGGGAAATCTAGCTCCCCTAGAGGCCCTGGCTGCTCAAGGGGGGCCCACGGTTGGGGGCGGTTGGGGGAATACAGCCCACCGGAGAGACTTGGCTGTGGATGCCACCAACAGGGACCCGAAAACCCCCAGAATTGTGGCCCAGCATGGGAGGAGTGTGCGGGGGATGGGCACGGGGTGAGTCATATGGGGGATGGGCGCGGGGTGAGGTGCGGGGGACGGGCGCGGGGTCTGGGGTGTACGGGGGGGCCCACCTGTCTCACTTCGTCGCAGAACAGGACGAAGACCAGCACGTAGAGCACGAGCTCGGGCGGGTGCGGCGCGGCGTGGAAGTCCATGAGCAGCACGTAGGCGAAGAGCAGCAGGAAGGCGATGTAGAAGACCACGTTCCACGAGAAGACCACGAAGGGCGACGTGAAGAAGGCCACGTAGTACCACAGCAGCTTCTTGTGCTGGTCCACGGGCTTCTTTCTGCGTGGGCCCAGGCCGGCTCAGCCCCCGCCTGGCCCCGGCCCTGCTGCCACCCCTGCACCGCGTGTGACAGACAGCCCCACTCCATCTCGGGAGCATTCGTGTGCATGCCGCATTCACACACATGCACACACAGGTGCGTGCACACATGTGGATGTGTGCCCACATGGATGTGTGCTCAAGGATAAGCACATATGTGGGCACATCACACGCATGTTTCACATCACATACGTGTGGTGCCATGTACGTACAGAGACACGTACACATGTGGGTAGATTACATGCATGTACAGGCACATGCATGTGGTGTTTGACACATGCACACACGGGCACATCGCACTCGTGTATAGGTACACACATGTTGTGTTATGTGCACAGAGACACATACACTCTGTGGGTATATTACACACATGTACAGGTACACGCATGTGGCGTTATTTATGTACAGAGACACGTTCACATGTTGGTATATCACACACATGTACGGGTCCATATGTGCGGTGCTATATGTGCACACAGACACAGACACATGTAAGTACATTGCACACATGTACAGGTAGACACATGTAGTACTTTATGTGCACAGAGACATACACATGGATACATTACACACATGTAGAGGTGGCTGTATTTACACACACAAGGATGCATGTTCACACGTGGGTGCACGAACACACAGGGACACGGGCTCAAACAGGAACACAGATACACATGCGTGGATGCACGTGTGGGTGTGTGCACACAGCGAGGTGCATTACACACTCAGGGACTCATGCAACAGGAGTGTGTACAGTGTGCAGGGCACGTGTCCACGTGTGTAGGAGATGAGGTGTGCCTTGGCTTCCTACCTAAATGAGACAAAGCCACAGCCGACCAGGGGGATGATGAACAGACACAGAATGATCTTCCAGTTCTTGGTGTCCCGGGAAATCTCGCCGTACCACTGCTTGGAGAGGAAGTTCTGCAGGGAGAGAGACAGGGGACAAGGGTCCTTCCTTCCGGTGCCGCGGAATGCAGGGGGGAAGCTCCCCTCCCACCTTGCACCCCTGAGGAAAGCACTTCCCAAGGTACGGTTCTGGTTTGATACGAGCTCCCTGCACCCTAGGTGAGGGGAAGCCGCGGAAGAACGACACCTGAGGCCAGCCATGCCTCTAGCCGGGGACGCGAGACTTGTCCATGGAGTGGGCGAAGGCACTGAATCCCGGGACTGATGACCTCAGGCAGGGGCGGGGTGGACCCCAGCTGGCCGCCCCCCAGAGCCTCGGGACACAGGCAACGGTGACCCATGCGTGACCCCAAGCTGCACTGTCAGTGGCTAAGCAGAGCAGGGCTTGGCTTGGCATCCCGCTAACGCGTGGGGACTTTGCACATACTCCGGGCTCAGTCCAGAGATCAGATCCCAGCACTTCCCAGCAGTGGAACCCCGGGAAACTTCTAGAACCTGGTGAGCTCCTGCATTCTCCTTAGTAAAATAGGACACCACCCACCCGCTGCACTGGGGCAGAGGGACGTGACCGCGTGTCTAAGGGGGTGTCCCTCTATCTCTTCCTTCCCCTCCTTCCTTCATGCCCAAGAACCCCCAGCTTCAGAGGGTGGGGGTGAGAGCCCCGGCTGAGACACAGCTGCGACCATGGCTTAGTGTGATGGGCCTGAGGGCTTCTGCCCAGCCTTGCCCGTTTCTTGGCTGCTCCTCCCCATGTCATCTGGCAAGGGGACAGTCGGTGCCCCTTGAGTGCAAGAGGAGAGTATGGTGTGGCCCGAGGGTCAAACCCCGGCCCTGGGACCCAGAGACATGTCCCCAAATGGCGCCATCCGCATGGCATGCCGGAAGGTCAAAGAATATTCTCCCTCCGACCCCCGAACTTGGGAGGTGCCTGGCCCACTGCCGGCATGCCCCCCGCCTGGGATGCCGCCTGAGTGGGGGGAGACGGCTCCTCCGCTGACGCTCGCCGCCCACCCGAGGGTGTGTCAGGGACGGCCCTGCCACACCTGGACCCCCGGCTGGGCGATGAAGTGCTGGTCGGTGGCCTCCACCGCCAGCTCCAGGCAGTTGCTCCCGCCCCAGGCCTCGCAGGAGTACACCAGCAGCTGCTCCGCCAGGTCCTCGTCGTTGCTGTAGCACTCGGTGAACAACTCTGCAACGCAAGGGCGGGCTGTCGGACACACAGAACTCCCCTCCAGAAACACACACACACATGCGCAGGCACACACACATACACATGTGCAGGCACACACACACACACATACAATCACACAGAGACACACAGACACACATACTCACAAACACACAGAGACAGATACATACACAAACACCCACACACTCACACACATTCACACATGCACACACAAACACACACTCACATACACATATTCACACATACACACACATACACACATACACACATAAACATATACACATACACATACATTCACAAATACATATATACATATACACAGATACACACAAACATACACACAGACACATATATACACATATACACACAAACACACACTCACCTATACACATACACGCATTCACATACACACATATAAACACACACATACAATCACACACAGATACACACAGACACAAACAGACACAGACACACACATACATACACAAACACCCACACACTAACATACACACATTCACACATGCACACACAAACACACACACTCACATACACAAACACCCACATACACCCATACACACATACCATATACACAAATACACATACACACATATACACATACACATATACACACATACACACATACATATACATTCACAAATATGTATATACATATATACAGATACAAACATACACACATACACACATACACATATATACACATATACACACAAACACACACTCACCTACACACATACACGCATTCACATACACACATATAAACACACACATACACATGAGCATACACACATACACACATACAAACATACACACAGTGGCACAAACATATATACACACACATACACAGACACACGCACATATACACATACACACATACATACAAACACACACATATACACATACATACACACATATACATACACACACGCACGCACACACGCACACACCGGCCCCCACACCAAGTCACCTTCAAGCAAAGTGGGAGGGTAGACTCCTGGGAGATACCCACGTGATTCTTCCCAAACAAAGGGGTTTCTCCAGGCACAGAATCCTGGCCCCTTCCCGGTGGCAGTGGCCCGATGGCCTGGAGGTGGCCGAACTGCCCCAAATGGCCCAGGCAGGCGCTTCCCCAGATGCAGACCCCGGGCAGGGTGCCCAGAGCAGCACCCATGTTGCGACCTCCCGTGCTTTGGGGATAAGCCTTCTCTGCAGACTCGGCTGATGCCCCCAAATCAAATAAAAATGTGTGCAGGAATCTCATGGGCTGCAATAGGGTGCTCAGGCTGAAGGCCGGCCCCGCGGGGACGCTCTCCAGGGCGGTCGATACGGGCTACCACGCCATGGGAGGGCACCTAACAGGACACAGGAATCACCAGGAATCTGGCAACCGCACAGGGTTTCGGAACTCTCCAGGAGAAAAAAAAAAAAAAAAGGAAAAAAGAAAAAAAAATTCAAATTCAACCCTGGCCTGAGTCCAAGGTGCTTTTGCTTGCGCTGTGGAAGACAGCCAGACTGGTGAAGGTCCGAGTGGCCATGACCTGTGGAGGCAGGTGGACACGCACCCTCATGGTCACAGGTCCCGAGGACCGCGCTGGGCACCTTTGCAGGGCAGAGCAGCTGTGTGCCGGATAGGCTTTTTTTTTTGCCCAGATTCCAAACACCCAGACATGCATTTTGTAACGTGCCCTTCCAACCTGGGCGACCCTCAGGGTCCAGGAACCCTTCACACGGGTCCAAAACCTTTGACTGGGGGCCAGCAGCTCCAGGTTTCTTGGGAAACAGGGGGTCTTCTGGGGAGACAGAAGCTGTGTGAAGGGCACAGGACAAGGGACATCCCCCAGACGGTGGCAGCTCACTGGGGAGGACTTGCAGAACCCTCAACCTGGACAGACATCCTTTGCGGGGCTTCAGGGGCACAGGACACGGCCTCCTTCCCGTCCACTCAGGGAGGGGCACAGGGATTTGGAGGCCCCTTGAGGGTGTCCTGGATGCCTAGACCATGTGTCCTGGCCCAGAGTCCAGGAAACCCCAGGCCGCCTCGAGCGCACACATGAACCATGTGTCCCCGTCACCGTTTCTCATCTGCACCCACCACTCCCCAGGGTGCTGAGTCCCTCACCCTGGGCTGGGGGCCTCTGGGGTGCAGATGATGCAGGTCACGTGTTTCCGCTTACAGTCTGGGGGTGTGGACACGTGCCCACCCCAGGCTCTGCCGCTGAGCCAGACTCACCAACCGCACGCGTCTCGTACTCATTGGCCAGTTCCTCCGACTCGCCGGCAGCATTGATGTCATTCTTGACCTTGGCCAGAGTCTTCAGCAGCTTGCTGGCCCCCAGGGCGGCCAGCGTGCAGCCCCTGGTCTGTGGGGGTGGGGGACGGAAGGTGACATTACCCCAGTGGCCGGGTCAGCGTCTGTCCAAGTCAGAACATACCGAGGGCACGGCGCGAGGGGGAAACGGTGACGTGTGCCCGGCCGGCAGCATTTTCCGGGTGAGGCCGGAGATGCTCTAAGGGCTGTGGGTGCTACCGGCCTCCATCCCGGCCCCCTCGGGCCCCACCGAGCTGGGAGCAGATCTCGGGCGCCACCTGGTGGGGCCCAGCGACAGTTTTCTTTTTTCTTCTTTTTCTTTTTTTTTTTTTAATATTCTTTATTTTATTGAACAGGTTTCAGTCATATAATGTTCCCTCCCACCCTAGCCTGCCTCTATGGCAGGCACCTCTCCTCTCTCTCTCTCTCTCTCTCTCTCTCTCTCTCTCTCTCTCTCTCTCTCTCCTCTCTTCCCTCTCTCCCTCTATCCTTCTCTCTCTCCCTCTTTTTCTCTCCCTTTCTCCCTTTCTCTCTCCCCCTCCCCACTCTCTTCCCTCACTCCCTTTCTCTCCTTCTCTCTCCCTCCTCTTCTCTTCCTCCCTCTCTCCCTCTTTTTCTCTCTCTCCCTCTCTCTCTCTCTCTCTCTCTCTCTCTCTTTCTCTCTCTCTCTCTCTCCCCACCCCTCTCTCCCTTTGGGCATTATGGTTTGCACTACAGATGCTGAAAGGTTATCAATAAATATCCCTTCCCCCCTTCAACACTCAGCATCGTCTGAGCCTGGACACAGTCACAGCCCTGGTCACTGGAGTGGCAGAGGAAACCACAGGCCAGTGCCAGGGGCCGTAAGCACGTGGCCGGCAAGTGGACACAGCACCAGGAGGGGATCTGGGAGAAGACACAGGGCCTGTGTGCCCACACCTGTGGCATGTCCCGCCGTGCCCCGTCCCTCCAGCCTCCACTGCTCCCTGGGCACCACACACACACACACACACACACACACACAATCACACGCACACAATCACACGCACATGCATGCACACACAATGCATACACACCACACCCCACACATACACACACACAATAACGCACATGCATGCACACACAATACATACACACCACACCACACACACACACACACACACACATACCTCGCTGCCTTTCCCGGGCTTGACTGCCCTGACCCTACCCTACTCCTGCCCCTCGGCCATCCCCCTAGATGTCGCTTTCCTAAATTAGACATAAAAGTCGCATCTACGTGCCCCGCTGCCCCCACTCTCCCGCTGAGAAACAGGTCCCGCGGCGCTGGCAGGGACACTGAGGCACGGCCATGCTCCTGAGCACAGGTGTCCTCTGGGGTGAGGTGGGGCCGTGGGGCTCGCGCGCCCCCTGCTGGTCCCGGCCGGCTTACCTGCTCCCAGATGACCTTGGACAGCTCCTTCTTGTTCTGCAGGATGGCCCAGATGAAGAGGGCCTGCAGCGGGTGCCGCGTGATGGGGGACACGTCCTGGCAGGGGGGAGAGCAGGGGGTCGGGCGCCATCCCCTCAGGGGCGCCCCAGAAGAGTCCCTCAAGCTCTCTACGTCGATGTCCATTTCTTAGGGCCCCTCCTGGCAGTGCTCAGGATGTGCTCCCCAGTCAGTGCTCAGGATTCTCCCCCAGTGGGGCTGGGGCCAGTGTCGGGGATGGAGTCAGAGTCCCCGACATGCAGAGCTTCTCCCCAGCCCCACGCGAGTTTGTTTTAACCACGTGGCCACGATGCAGCCATGCCCACCCCTCTGCAGGCGGCAGGACCGTCTGGAAATCCCGCATCTACCAGAAAGACGCTCCTGCCAGCCAGAGTGTGGGAAGGGCGGGGAGAGGTGCGAGGGGCCAGGTACAAGCTGAGCGACCAGGAAACGCCCAGGGGTGTCTCTAGGACTCTCACCGGGGAAAACCGGCTCCCACCACACTCTGCACAAGCTCCCAGACTGACCACGGAGCCCCCTTGTCAGAAAGTGCCGTTCAGTGCCCTCTTGAAAACCTTCTTTTTTGGTGAACAGATAGAAAATGTCACCCCATGGTGCCAAGGCTACCACTGACCCCAGCTCCGACCTTTCCAGGGCCCTGACAGGACAATGCCATTCTAATGGGGTCTTTCCACATAGGAAATAAGAAACTAAATGTCTATATTTGGAAATGTCCCTGTGGGTTTCAGCAACATCCAAACTGCTCACATCCTGGGTCTGGGCATGAAAACGGTCTGGGCATCAACTCCATCTAGAAGCTTCCAAGCACTTCCTCCTCCCTCAACCCTCCGTTCCTTCAGGCTCTGCAACACACACATGCACACACATGCACAAACACACACACATATATATCCGCATGGATGAGCATTCAGACATGCATGCACACACATACACATATGCATACACATGTACATACATGCACAAACACACATATAGACACACTGGGATGGGGGCACATACATGCATGAACACACATGTACACACATACACACTCACACATGCACAAACACAAATATATACACACAAGGATGGGTATACATACACAATGCACACACATACATGCTCACATACACAATGTTGGGTAACATTGCTTTGTCCTTCCACAGGAAGCTTAGGTTTATCTGGTTACACTCATTAATCTGGTTACACCCATCAATCTGGTTACACCCATCACAGTGCTCCTGAAGCACTTCCACTTCCACTGTGTTTATCTGTAAACAGTCTTCCCTATGCTCTCCTTCCCACCCAGATAATCAGCTTTCCCCTTAATCAGACTTTGTTAATCTGTAAGATCAGTTTCCCAGAAATCTATGATTTTGTATGTATGAGTGAAATATTGCCTTTCTCCTCTCCTTATGCCTTATGAACAGTTTACCTTAAAGTAATATCCTTTTTGTATAGATACAGGAAGACCGTTAACATCATGCTTTGTAACTCAGGACTTGATTGGCTTTGAATATTATTCACTCCCAGGCATCTGCTTTCTCGACTTAAGCCTCAGTTGCCCTTAGTTCCTAACATCCCAAAAGCAGGGTCCTGACGAGGGACTGAATGGACCCAGGGCAAGCGGTGAGCTACCCTGGCAGCGGAATGGGCCAGGCCAAAGTGTCATGATTCTTAACTATAAGTTAAGAGTTTGATCATAGACAAATGCTGTCATGATCCAAAGGTAACGACGAGACTGGGATCCTGCTAGGGGTGGGAAAGACTATCTGGCCTGAGCACTGTAGTCTGAGATCGAGATGGCCCTAGGAGAGCAATTCTATAAGTTTAAGATATTTCTTACTGTATCCATACAAAATGATTTATATTATATTCTTATATGCTTGTCGGACAAGGAGAGGAGAGGCACGCCCATGGGATTCTGCTCTAGGGTGGGTCCTCTTGCTAAGAAAGGATCTGTCCTAGGAGTGGCCTTCCCTGAGGCTAAGATTTCTACCCCTATTGATTTCTACCCCTATTGATTGTGACCGCACCTATGTGTAATTGTTCCCCCAATTCCTCTTGGAGAGAGATATAATGAGACTGTAGATTGGATAGAGGGGAGCAGAGACAGAGGCAGAGACAGGCAAGAGTGACTGGTGCAGATGGAGAGAGGAATGAAATAAACTGCTACTAATACCAACCAGCCTGGCCCTCATTCCTTCCTCCACCTGACCATCGCCATCGACCTCCCTGGGTGGGAGAAGGGTGAGACTACCAAACGCGGATGGCAGGAGAGATAGAGCCACCACCGCTGAGTGCTGCTTGCCCCCTCATTTGTGTGAGTTTACACACACACAAACACACATATTTATACACACATGACTGGGTATACATACACTACATACATGCATGCACACATATACACACATGTAGGCATACAGATGCGCACACATCTACACACAGGGATAGGCATATACACACATACACAGGCACACATATATGCATGAACATGTACATATACACAGAGATGAGCATACATACACTCATGCACACATATACATATACACAAATGCATACATATATACATACATGATGGGTATACAGACACACATGCACACACATACACGCTCACACACGCACAAACATACACATATATAAACACATGAATGTTCCTACACGCATGCGCACATATACACATATGGACGCAAAATCACAGGCATACATACACACATGAATGTATACAAACATGGACATAAACATGCACACACACAGACACATATGCATGCATACAGATACACACACACTGATGTTCAAAATCTCAGAATTCCATGAGAATGGCCTCGATTAGAGCAGTCTCGCATGAGAACTTGAGGCAGGCCATTTTCCTTTGAGGGAAAAACCACTAGGAAGGCGGGAAACGAGAAGAGGAAAGACAGGCCCAGGCAGAGGCACCGTCAGCGAGCTGGCGCCATGGGGGTTGGCAGTGAGACCCGCCAGGGCCCTGCAGTCTCCAGCCCGAGAAAACCCAGCCAGAGTCACAGGTGCTGGCAGGCACCGAGATCTGGGTTGTGCCCGTGCTTGAACTAAGCAGGCCTGGGTGGGCACCAGCCCCCTCTCCAGCACACAGGTGGGGTGGGGTCACCCCTGGGAATGGCCTCATCCCTGGTGTGCACAGGAGAAAATGTGGGGGCCCTTTCATCCTTCACACGGCAGCAGACAACAACCTGGGCAGACCCTGCCCCAGAGTGACACACAGTCCACAGTGCCTGTCTCCCGCTAGATACCCTTAGAGACACACACCAGCCCTCAGAGCTAGGAAGAGAACAAGACCGAGAGCCTGAGCATGAATCGAGACCTGAGAATCCCCACCAGGTGCTCAGCCCACGCGGCACAGGCAGCAAAGACAGAGCAAAGCGACCGAGTGCTCCCAGCACCATGAGGCAGGGTGGGGAGGATGGAGGTGGCGGGGGCAACGGGGGTGGCTGGCCTGGCCCGAGGGTGTAGGATGGAGGCCAGCAACTTGTCCAGCACCTACATGGAATTCGATGTCCAGGTCCTCCCGGCTGCTCCGGTCTTCCTTCCGGAAGCCTCTGCGGAAGTTGGCCACCAGCTTCCAGACGAAGGTGAGGAGGGCGTCGTTGTAGGAGTTCTTGGCGATCTGCAGGTTGCGGTACACCAGGGCACTGAAGTGGTTGGAGAAGAGCTCGGTGAGGACGTCGTTGGTGAGGAACTTGCGCAGATTCAGGCCGTTCTCTAGGAAGAGGCGGACGAACTTGGGCCTGTCCTTGATAAGCGCCATGAACATGACCTCCTGCAGATCGGCCGACTAGGGGAGAGAGGGAGGTGTCATGCACATGGCCCACGGAGGGGACGCCCCTCCCAGGCCGGACCCCACCCCCAACCACGAGGACATGGGGTCACTGAAGGGATGCCCCTCCCGGGCCAGACCCCACTCCCGACCACCAGGTCCTGCCATCTCCCAGTTCCTTTATTTTCTCCTGCTTCGAGAATCAGTGAGACTGGGGCCAGAGCAATATTCCAGTGGGTAGGGTGTTTGCCTTGCAGGCAGCCAACCCGAGTTCAATCCCCGTCATCCCATATGGTTCCCCCAAGCACCGCCAGGAGTGATTCCTGAGTGCAGAGCCAGGAGTAACCCCTGAGCATCACCGGATGTGATCCAAAAAACCAAAAAAAAAAAATCAATGCAGCTGTTCAGGACCGTGGAGTTGGGTCCCAAATTGGGCTGGGAGTGAACATGCCTCTTGCTATCATGAAGTGCAGTGAACACCACCCACAGGGCAGAGCTGACCCCGTGCCCAGTCCAGAGGAAGGCTTCAGTGGGACTAAGGGCCAGCAAATGGCTCACAAGGTTGTTTCCCCAAATCACTCAGATGTGAACCAACAGTCCCAAACCAGCCCCTGCATCCCACCCCACCAGCCCTTGATGGAGCCCCAGACCCTCTTCAGACTTCACCATGCCAGGCAAAGGGAAGCCCCCTTGACACTCATCCAAGTTATTATTCATCCCCACTGGCGCTTTCTGGCCCATAGAAGGAGGTCGGTAGATGCGGCCACACATCACGTCCCATGGACCAGAGCCACGGAACCACAGGCCACACCTGCTCTTAGACACGTTTGTCCCCCGAGACATTTCTCACAATTGGACACGGTTGTCAACTTCAAAAACCAGAAGGCCAGGAGCGATTTTCTCAGAGGATCAGGTGCAGGGTCGCACACGAGAAGCCCGTGTTTCACTCCTGGCACCGCACAGTCCCTGAATCAGGGGCAGCACCCAGCACCAGCGGGTGTGTCCCCAGGACAAACCTGCACAAACACTAGCTAGAAGGCCCGTGACAAGCTCACACTCCACCGGTAAAGTCCAGGGTCAAAAGGGGAAGCCAGTGGCTCTGATGCAGCTCAAGAGGCAGAGTCAGCCGGCACAGATGAGGCTCGGGGTCCCCCCCAAACCCAAGCCACTCCCTCAGGGACCCTCACACTACAGCCCCATCATTAACAAGGAAACAGCAGAGGGAGCGTGAGAAAGAAAAATGATCAGTAAGGGATGACTTTTGGTTGGGACCTCTTTTTTTTTATCCACTTGATTTAATTTTAATTTAATTTTAAATTTAATTTTTAGTTTTTTTTTATGCTTGTATTTGGGGCTGGAGAGATAGTACCAGAGGCATGGCAAACTTTTCCTGCATATGGCCTGCCCCATTCCAATCCTGACACCGCTTATGGTCCCCCAAGTACCACTAGGAGTGATCCCTAAACACAATTAGGGGTAAGCTCTGAGTGCTGCCTGGTGGAGCCCAAAAACAGAACAAATAAATAAATATAGAAAAAATCAAGCCAGAGGCCGGAGGGATAGTACAGCGGGGAGGGTGTTTGCCTTGCATGCCGCCAACCTGAGTTCGATCCCCGGCATCCCATATGGTCTACCCAGCACCGCCAGGAGTAATTCCTGAGTGAAGAACCAGGAGTAACCCCTGAGCATTGTTGGGTGTGACCCAAAGAGCAAAAAAAAATAAAGAAAAAAAGAAAAGAAAAGAAAAGAAAGCCAGTTTGCAGAGGTTACGTCATCCAAATGAGCAAACTCTTTTTTCTTTCTTTCTTTTTTTCTTTTCTTTTTTTTTTTTTTTTTGCTTTTTGGGTCACACCGGGCGTTGCTCAGGGGTTACTCCTGGCTCTTCACTCAGCAATTAGCCCTGACCGTGCTCAGGGGACCATATGGGATGCCGGGGATCAAACCCAGGTCGGCCGCATGTAAGGCAGACACCCTACCCGCTGTGCTATCACTCCAGCCCCCAAATGGGCAAACTCTTGACACTATCTTTATGGCTCCTGCCCACAGCCTTTCACTACCTTTGCCTGAGTTAATACAATGAAAAGGGCCATTTGATATGCGTCTGCATTTATGTTTATTCAGACCATCTCACGTGACTCCCACAGAAGACTCCACACACCGGGACTGGCTCGCTTATGACTCAATTAACCAGATCTACTTGCAATGCTACTTCCCCTCAATGAACTAGCCCAGGGAGTGTATAATAGAGTCCCTTAACCTGCAAAGACAACAGACTGTTTGCCGAATGAATGAATAATTTACAATCCCACAATGATTACTTTTCTTGGCATGCTGTTATTAAACCCTTCACGTGCATGTAAATTAGATATTCATCCTTGGAGGAAGCGGTGAGAGACCTCCAGGTGTTTCTGCACCTGACTTCCAGGAGGACTGATACAACCAACCCTTCTGTGTGGAGTTGCATTCTCTCCAGCACTTAGTAAAGGCCAGAAGGAATTCAGCCTCTGACTCGGGGCTGAGAACCAAGGAGCTGCCTCCGCGGGCCTGTGTGCATTGCTCTGGGGGATGGAGGGGAGAGGGTGGTGTGTCCCCACATTGGTGACACTTCAACGGGACTCCAGAGAACAGGGCCTGCATTTGTCCCTTCTGCAGCTCGCTGCCACTGACCTTCTCAAAGCTGCTCTGGGAGATAAGGCAGGGTACAAAATGAGACTTTCCAGTCGAGCCGGTAGTAAACCCCTTATTTCCCTTCTGTTGTCCCGTTGTTCATTGATTTGCTCAAGCAGGCACCAGTAACATCTCCATTGTGAGACTTGTTGTTACTGTTTTTTTTTTTAATTTTTATAAGTGAGACATCATGAGGTACAGTTGTAGACTTACAAATTTCCATGCTTGGGTTTCGGTTTAACACTCGGAAATCAATCAACATAATCCATCATATCAACAAAAGAAAAGATAAAATCATATGATCATATCAATAGATGCAGAGAAAGCATTTGGCAAGATCCAGCACCCATTTATGATAAAAAAAAAAACCCTCGCCAAAATGGGGATAGAGGGGACTTTCCTCAATATAGTTAAAGCCATTTACCACAAGCCTACAGCAAGCATCATCCTCAATGGGAAAAAACTGAGGGCCTTCCCTCTAAGATCAGGGACGAGACAAGGATGTCCACTCTCTCCACTGCTGTTCAATATAGTGCTGGAAGTACTTGCAATAGTGATTAGGCAACAAAAAGATATTAAGGGCATCCAGGTAGGAAAGGAAGAAATGTTACTGTTTTTGACATATGGAATACGTCATGGGGAGCTTGCCAGGCTCTGCCGTGCAGGTGGGATACTCTTGGTAGCTTGCCGGGCTCTCCGAGAGGGACAGAGGAATCGAACCTGGGTCAGCCGCGTGCAAGGCAAATGCCCTACCCGCTGTGCTATCACTCCAGCCCATTTCCCTCCTATTTCTGCCCAACGGCTGGAGCGATAGCACAGCAGGTAGGGCGTTTGCCTTGCACGCAGCCAACATGGCCGACCCGAGTTTGATTCCTCCGCCCCTCTCGGAGAGCCGGGCAAGCTACCGAGAGTATTCGATATGCCAGACACAGTAACAACAAAGTCTCCAATGGAGACGTTACTGGGCCCACTCGAGCAAATCGACGATCAACGGGAGGGCCTTTACTTTACTTTTACTTTCTGCCCAACCCATCTCAAGAGGAAATCTAAGCTCTACCTCAGAGAGTCGCCCCACCTGGCTGACAATGCCCTGGCCTGTTGTGTTTAATTTTACTCTGTCCCCTCAAGCGCCTGCCACACTGACATTCTTACCCGCCCTCCAGACCAGGAGGAGGGGCGGGGCGGGCAACATATGTGTGTGTGTGTGTGTGTGTGTGTGTGTGTGTGTGTGTGTGTGTGTGTCGGGTGGAGCAGTCCTGGCCAAGTGCCCACGCCAAGACTTGTCAGAGTGAACCCACCACCAGCCCAGCATGTGGGGACCTTCCAACTTACCTCCCAGCGGCGCTCGTTGGTGAAGATCTCGTCGTTGGCCAGGTCCAGCTGGTTCCACTCCAGCAGCAGCTTGAGCTGCCCATTCCAGTTGTCCTTGTCCTGCTCGTTGGTGCTAAAGGCTGAAGGGGGGGCCAGGCAGGAGAATAACTGACTCCCCCAGGAGCACAAGAAGTGGAAGGACGGTGCTGGCCAACGCCCAGAGCCTGGATCCCAGCACGTCCCGTTACACTCATTCAGACTCCGGGCCACCGGCTTCTCGCCACACAGTCCGCACACACTCCCTGTGTCCCCAGGCACACGGCGAGGACAGCTCAGGGGACAACTCTCTCTCTCTCTCTCTTCAGGTCATAATGCGAGATGTCATGGATTTGTGGCTTCACGGTTCAGATTCTGTAAATGATTCTACTTCAAGGGCCATATCTGACTTAAGCCGTGGTTCCCTCTTGAAATAACGGCTGTATTAGAACCAGGCTCTCCTTGCTGTTTCCAGGTAGAATTCGTTTTAGTAAATCTCATTCTAGCCAAATGCCCGGCAAGCACAGCGAGAGTGAGTCTAATAAGGGGCTTAAGCCATGCCACCCTTCTGGAACCCCCTTCTCCCTGCTGGACTTGGTCAGCGGGTACCTCCAATCAAGGGGACCAGCTTTGCCCAGGCCCCATTTCACTCCCTCTCCACCTGGATGGAATTCTAACACACAAAGGTCCTGTCTAGATGAGAAATTGCACCCCCAAGGTTCATTCCGTGTCCTAAATCATCTATAGACCCCTGAAATTAAATGCACATATGTCCTGTGTGTGGGCTGGAGAGATAGCACAGCGGGTAGGGTGTTTGCCTTGCACGCAGCTACCATGGCCTACCTGAGTTCGATTCCTCCGCCCCTCTCAGAGAGCCCAGCAAGCTACCGAGAGTATCTCACCCACACAGCAAAGCCTGGCAAGCTACCCATGACGTATTCGATATGCCAAACACAGTACCAAGTCTCACAATGTTACTGGGCCCACTCGAGCAAAAATAGATGAACAACAGGAGAACAGTGACAGTGACAGACAGTCCTGTCTATTGACTTCGTGTGGGTGAATGGACATTTCCCAAGGATTCCGGAGACAGATGCATGCATGACTTTCAGCCTATTCTCAGAGGAGTCCAGGGCTCAGGAAAAGATCCTCAGCAGGACTGGAGACAAGTCTCCAGAAAGAAGAGCTACAGTGCAGTGCTATTTCCCTCCTACTGGTGACACTATTCCACGTGTCACCAGTCTCTTCGGACCGAGAAACTACACGGTCTAGTAAAAAAAACACACAACCAAGAAGATTTAGCTTGGCAAGCCCAGAGCAGATATTCTAGGTCAATTGGCCTATGATGATTATAATGAAGTGCTGGGTTATATGTCAATAAAACTGCTTTTCTAGATGAAAGCCAGCCACTAAAGATCGCAGGAAGTCAAGCAGAGTCACGACTTGGGGGAGGCGCCCAGAACTTACCTTTGTACAGCGCGTAGGAAATGGCGTTGCTCACAATTTCGTCCCCGGCTTCCTCCATTTTAATAACTGTTAACAGGTGAGCACTCTCCAGAATCTCTTTGAGCTGGCGGCATTCGGAAAACAAAAGGTTAGCAATGGAGATTGGGCACGAGGAGAATAAATGTCTCACACTTAGGAAGGAAATTCGCTATGATTTTTTTTTAACAGAGGGTCGCTAAGGGAAGTTCCATCTCATGGTGGACATCATGTTCGTGGGGAGTAATGAAGTACAGGGTTATATGTCAATAAAACTGGTTTTGCAGTTAAACATTGCAAAACAATCACACACTAGGGGCCAGAGAGATAGGACAGCGTGACCCTGCTACAGCTAAGTGCAGGTCACATGCAGATCATTCATCGATAAAGCCAAATACCTCACAGACCAGGGTACGTGTGTGTGTGTGTGTGTGTGTGTGTCTGTGTGTGTAAGAGAGAGAGAGAGAAACAGACACACACAGACAGAGAGAGACAGAGAACGCAGAGCATCAGGAAATAGCATCTGCCCTATTGAAATAAAAGAGAACAAATGAGTAAAAGTTTGCAGAAAACCATAGAAATTGTTCTGTGTGAACTTCAGGTAGAGAAGGTCAATGTAGGAAGAAACCAGAGGACTCAGTTATTGGACCAAGAAGAAATTTTCTGCAGTATATTGTCAGATTTATTCGGTAGGGGCTAGGGGGTTGGGGCCACCCCCAGTTGTGCTCAGGGGTTACTCCTGGCTCTGCAGTCAGAAATCACTCCTGGTGGTGCTCAGGGGACCCTATGGGATGCCGGGGAATCCAGCCCAGGTTGACCGTGTGCAAAAAAAATGCCCTCCCCACTGTACTATCTCTGATAGTACAGTGTGTGATAATGTGTGATTGTTTTGTAATGTTTAATTGCAAATTATTTTTAATCAAAAATAATTTTTAACTAATCAAAATTATTAATCAAAAAATTAATTAATAATTATCAGGACATCTTATCAGGACATCTTTTATGACATCTTATCATCTCATTCCTACTTTGGACAAACTTGCAGGCTATCGAATGTAGCCTGCCCACAGGGCAGAGTCTGGCAAACTCCCCGTGGCGTACCAAATATGCCAAATACCAGTAACAATGATGGGTCTCATTCTCCTAAAGAGCCTTGAATATAATCTCAGGGCTAGGATGAAAGAGACGTTACTGGGGCCTGCTCGAGGCAATCGACGAATAACAGGATGATGAAATGAAAAAATCAAAAAATAATAATTTTTGAAATTATTTTTAATCAAAGAGGTAGGGGATGGGCCTAGCCTTCACTTTCAAGGGTGAGGGTTACGGTGATCTGAGCATGGTAAGGAGAGGCCCTGTCCGAGAGGGAGTTCTGGCTTCCTTAGGCTGGGTTTGGTCTGGGAGGCCGTGGAGTTCCCTGGAAAGTTTTGAAAGTGAGGATCAGGGATTAAAGTCTATCTGGGCAGGAGCAGGTTCAGGTCAGACTGGGACAGAAACTGATGCCAACCATTGGGAATGGAGACCCCAGGAAAACACCCCTTAGACGCCACTCACTGGGAAAGAGGAGCCCAGGGCCTTTGCATGGCACTGAGGGGTGAGGGTGAAATAAACCCAAATTCTAGGGGAAACGCAACCCGGGGGGGTCTGACTAGGGTGGTGGGAAGAGTATCATGGAGGGCAAGACCCTCCCCCCCAAACCCCAGCATACCTGCAGCATTTGCTCAGGTGAAAGGAAAGGAAGTTTAAGCACCCTACCCGAAACAGATTCAGTGCAATCCCTCCCCCAAATTCTAGCAGCATTTTTCAAGTAGTAGAAAAAATATTATTAGAAATTTGCATGGAACCACAAACTTCTTGGAGCAGCCAAAGCATTTCTGAGGAAAATAAAAAATGGAGTAGACACTAAAGCTATAGTAATGAAAATAGTGTGGTATTGGACGAGAGACAGACACTCAGGACAGTGGAACTGAACTGAATGCTCACAGACAAACCTCACCCACACGGACAGCCAATTCATGCATGACAGAGAAGCTAACAGCAGACCTAGAGCAAGGAAAACCTTTCAACAAATGGTGCTGGGAAAACTGGTCAGCCACATGCAGAGGGATGAACTTAGGCCGCTGGTTAAAAGGTAACTGAGTGGATCCAGAGCAAAATGATGAGACCAGAGACACTGCAGGCCTCAACCAGTGTCCCCTCCCTTGTGCTCTTGCTCCCTCTGATCCCGTCTGCCCTGCACAGCCGGCCTGAGCATCTCTGCGTCACCCCTGACCACATCCCCAGCCTCACGTGAGCATGTGACTCCATCCCACCCGCAAAGCCACAGAAAGGAATCCCTGAGCTCGCAGCTCTCTCCAGCTCCGGCTTCCACTTACAGCAGTGCCTCATCTCCTTCCTGGGGCAGGCTTGGCCTCAGGGCCTTTGCACATGCCCCTGCTTCCAGCATGATCCTAGCCCTCAGCCCTCCAACCCTCTCATGCTCAGACTATTCCTCCATGCCAACCCACATGCCCTTCTCTGTCTGTCCACCTTCTTCCAACTGCTCATTTCAACTTGAATCCTATGGTGTCATGAGCTCATTCCACACCGATGCTCTTTCTGCAGTGTTTGCAGTTACTGGGTGTTCATGGCTGCCTGGTCCGGAGGCTGGCATGGAGAACGCGCCCACCAACACAGCTGAATGAATGAATCCATGGGCTTGGAGAGAATGGGCAGTGTCTAGGTTAACAGATTCCCTGGGGACTATAAGGAGGGGCAAGTTCTTCAGAGATGGAGTAGAGAATAACTAAGAAGTCAGCAAGAGATTGGGGTGGCAGGGAGAAGGGTCTCCTGGATCTCTCTCTGGGGAGCACCAGTGAGGAGCACATGAGGGGTTGGTGCCCTGTGTGGTGGGCGAGATCGCCAACACTTACTCTAGGAGGCCGCTCAAATATTCTCCCAGTGGATCCTTCACTTATGAGTAATTCTACCCCAGAGCTTGGTCTTTGGGGAAATTGTGCCAATGGAAAAGTTCCGCACAAGCTCATGATTAAAATGCCTCACTAGCTTGTGGGACTGAAGTATATTCTGTGATCGACATCATGAAAATTGTAATATTTCATTTAGCATGTTGGATGTGACCATGAATGAGATGCAAGTCCCAGAAAGGGCAGCACCATTGCAGAAGGGGAAACGGACTTTCAGTTCTTATTCGAGATGCGTGTAACCACTTTCCTGATGCAGAATTCAAAATCAAATCCTTCCTAAAGAGTGTGGGTGGGGGGGTGGGTGGGGGGAGGTCTACAGAAACATGCCATGGGGGTCAGCCAACTTGCATGAGGACCAGAGAAAAGGACCAGAACAGACCCAACTCCATCGTTACTGGGTCCACTCTCTATGGGGTCCTCGATGGACCCACAGAACTTCGCCCACCCACCACAGGCAAGGAGCCTGCGGGCAGCGCTTGGCACCCAAGGTCTTACAGCCATGCTTAGATTAGGGGGTGATTCCATCGGTGTGTTTGGAATCGACTGCTTAGGCCTGAATATGTGAAGAATACAAACATGCGGAGGTTTGGGGGTCCTTACCCAGGTTTCCCACGCAGAGAGCTCCCCAGAATAACTGGGGCCCTGATATTCTCCACCCCCTCACTTCCTGTTGGGGTGTGCGGGCCGTCTCTGACAGGTGCGTCCTGCTTGTCCTCACTAAGCTCATCCCTTAGCCTTGCTCCTGCTGAGCCCCCAGAAAAGGTCCGCAGTGGCCCTGCAGCCTGTCTGGGGGTGTACCCGTTGCGTTCGGAAGCTTATTACTCCGAAACCCCATTTTCAACCTAAGAAGTCGATCATCTAAGAAGCTTAGAACATCCAAGAAGCTGATATTTGGCTGTTTTTCATTTTTTAAAGATTTAGTCAGGGTGAAATTACGATTGGGTTCCAGATACACACTGTTTTGATATGGACCCTTCATGGGGCCTCTCCTCTCCACCAATGTCCGCTGCCCCCAATTGCCTCCACCCGACCAGTCTGCTAAGGAGCTACTATTTGGCCCTGCCCCCCTGACCCTTGTGCCAGCCCCTGATCTTGGCCAAGAGGCCAGACAGGCACAAACTCTCACAAAGAGCCTGAGCTCGGTGTTGTTTAAGTCTTAAGTCGTCAAATTGTCCTACTCCTGGGGGGCTTGCACACAGCATTTGGTGCCTGAGCTGGGTTCCGCAGCATTTCACTGGCTCTGGATCCCCCTGACTTTTCTGCATGTTCCGGGATCTCTGCGGCCCCACATTTGTCTCAAACGATGCCTCAGGCCACTGGGAGCACCGGGATGACCCCCACAGCTCCAGCTTCCTCTCTCGTCGTCATTTGCACACAGCCGAATATTGCAGAAAGGCGATCCGGTTGGAATATTTTTATTCTGCCTATTAATTCCAGCCTTTGACTCTGCTGATGAAATGGGCCCTAGGATTAAAATAACTCCTGCTGTCCACAGCCTGCTGTCCCCAAGGGCAGCACATGCTCCTATAAATACCCCCGTCTGGAAGGCTGGTGTGAGGAGCCGATGGGAACGCACCTGTGGGGACACGTGAGCACTCTGAGAGCTCGAAGCTCTCAGGGTACCTAGCTAGTGATTTGGGGACCTTCAAAGGACAATGACCCTGTCAGTACCACTTGGCCACTAGAAACACTCAGTGGAGAATATGCCCCTATGGACCTCTGCTTTCCCTGCCCCGAGCAGACAAAGCACAGATGCTGTGTGTGTACTGACATCCTGGCACCCGAGAGAGAGAGAGAGAGATGGAGGGAGAAAGGGAGAAAGGGAGGAAGGGAGGGAGGGAGAGAGGGAGGAAGGGAGGGAGGGAGGGAGGGAGAGAGGGAGGGAGGGAGGGAGGGAGGAAGAAACAGAGAGGGAGAGAGAGGGAGGCAGAGAGAGGGAGGGAGAGAAGGAAAGAGAGGGAGTGAGAGGGAGAGAAGGAGGGAGAGAGAAGGAGAGGGAGGAAGGGAGGGAACAGGGAGGCAAAGAGAGAGGGAGACGGAGGGAGGGAGAGAGGGAGAGAGAGTAGGAGAGAGAGGGAGGGAGGAAGGGGGAGAGACAGAGAGAAAGAGAGAGACAGAGAGAGAGAGAGAGAGAGAGAGAGAGAGCTTTGCAAATGCCCAGAGCTGAGTTGAAACCTGCATGCTGCCTCTTGCCAGGGAGGGAGACAGGATGAGTGGCCAAACTTCGGTTGATTCCCAACTCTTGTTTCCAGCTGGTTCGGGCCCATGGCTGTGCCCAGGTCACAGAGACCGAGACCTGCGCTGCTGTGCTAAGGCCTGAAGGCGGCTTCCTCCATGCAGCTCTCTGGGATCTCCCCAACTCACCCATTTGATCCAACTCTCCGTCTCCTCCTCGGGCTGCCGGGCCACTGTGCGGGGCAGGAAACGCACCAGCTTCTCCTTGACGATGGACGAGGTCAGGACGTCCTCCATCTCCACCAGGCTGGCGATCACGTCTGCCACCTGGCCAGAACCTTCCACCACCACGCAGGGAATTTTGCTCTTGATGGAGGTGTGAATGGCCTGAGAAGAGGCAGGGGACAGGCCGGGTGGAGGCACTGGGGACCCACCCAGCCTGGCTCAGGACCGAGGTTCAGAACCCAGCCCTGAGGGTCCACGTGGACCTCCCTGGACTTCCTTCCTTTGGGGGTTTATTTTAGCTTTGGAGCAACTCAACGCTTTGCAGTTGCATCATGAATGGGACACAGAGGCCAGTTCTGCTCTGTCCTGTGCTAGCAACTGATGCCACAGCAAGGAAATATGAGCAGACTTGATGTTCCAGAGAGGAGGGTCTGGACAAACACGGAGAGTCCAGATACTGACATCCTGGGCGTGTGTCAATACCTGACCCAGTGTTCAATATTACCACTCAATATTACTCATGGCGATTGAAAATGTCCACACATTGACCCTTTCACACTGAGAAGATCCTGACATCCCCCCAAAATAGCCTTCCCTGAGACTTTTCTTTACCAAAGACCTCACTAACAGACTCACAGTAGGTGCTCAAAACAGAGGCTGGTGACAGAGAAAGACAAACATAGACGGTCTAATTTCCTGAGGTAGATAGAACAACTGGATGAGGAAATGTGATATAGTAAAGGGAGAGGATGTGGGGGGGGGGCGGAGGTTCCTAGTTCACCCGTGACCTCAGAACTTGGGGAGGAGAAGGACAGAGAAGGAATGAAATCGGGGGGAAAGAAGATGAGCCGGGAAGGGCTTTGGTTATCCTGGTGATATGGGAGAGTGGTCCAGCCATACAGTCAAAGCACAGACTCAACACCACTGAAAACATGAGACCTAAGCTACAGCCTTTGTTGTGTGCCTGTCAGGGTGACATGTGTGCATGGAGAATGGAGTCTGGGAACACAGGTGGGGGGAAGCTGGCACTGGTGGTGGGATTGGGGTTGAAATCTTATATTCCTAAAACTCAACTATCCACAGCTTTGTAAATCATAGTTCTTTAACAGAATTAAAACATATCTAAGGGGCTGGGGCGATAGCACAGCGGGCAGGGCGTTTGCCTTGCACGCGGCCGACCCGGGTTCAATTCCCAGAATCCCATATGGTCCCCTGAGCACCGCCAGGGGTGATTCCTGAGTGCGTGAGCCAGGAGGAATGCCTGTGCATCGCCAGATGTGACCCAAAAAGAAAAAAATTTAAAATATGCCAAAAAAAAAGTAACGAGAAGTCTCACAATGTGTTGTGAGATGTTACTGGTGCCCGCTCGAGCAAATCGGTGAACAACAGGAGGACAGTGCTACAGTGCTGTTGGATGAACGATGTATGAATGAGCGAACATCTGAAAGGTATGGAGACACCTTCGGGGCAGAAGCCATAGATTTTGTAGTAACTCCATTCGGGTATTTCCCTGGCCAAATAATTTCCCATGCACCTTTTTATTAAAATAGAGCAAGACTGTATTTTCTTCCTGGAGAAATACTTACCCCACCCTTTTATTTTTCACCCCACCTTTTGCATAAGATCCAGACAGCAGCCAAGGGGAGTCAGGTTTTAAGAATCAGCAAAGAGCAAGACAATGAGCTCTAGAGATGGGCATGAAAGGCAGATGTCCAGCCCCTTCCTTTTCCCAGATGACGTTTCTGGATATCCCCAGCAGTGTTCAGGGGTCACTTCCGACTACGTTCAGCGTGCAATTCTGTCCTAGCAGTGCTGAGACACCGCAATGTTGGAGGCCACCCTAGCCGTGCCAACTGGGGGTTGGGGGAGGGCATCCAGACGGTGGAGGTTGAACCCAAGACCCTGTGCATGCCAGGCACAGACACTGTGTGTTTGGCCCCTCTCCCTGCCACAGAGCCCCTGCCTTTAGCAGGATGGCATCTTCTCTTGGAGCCAGACCCATCCTGTGTGTGTTAGCATCACGGGAGAGGACAGATCCCACGGGACTCCCTCACCACTAAACTAAAGAGGGTGGGTCCGGGGGTGGTCGGCTCAGGTGGGAAGGATCTGAGAGGAAAGAGGGCTAGAGAGAACTTTTTATCCTCTTCCCCCCTTGTTCCTGGCAGACATCTGGAGAAAACACCTGGAAACATGGTACCCAAGATCTGTGTCTGGGGGGGTGGGGGCGCTCTGGAAAATTTAATTCTAAACCTAACATTTGGAAGCAGACACGTAAAGGCAACCATCTCGATTGTTCTCTCTCTTCCTCTTCAACATATCTGCACTCCCTTACTGAGATGACAAAAACGTCTCCCATTTTTTTCCCTGAGAGCCTTCATTTACCCATTGCCTCAAGGCAGGTGCTCGATACCTACTGCCGATGGACCAGAGAATGATGGAGGAATCAATCAAAGATGAATGAAGAAGTTAGAAAGAGCCCCATTCCTAAAGGTAAAAGGTAAAGGCCCTCCCGTTGATCGTCGATTTGCTCAAGCGGGCCCAGTAACGTCTCCATTGGAGACTTTGTTGTTACTGTGTTTGGCATATCCAATACTCTCGGTAGCTTGCCGGGCTCTCCGAGAGGGGCCCAGTAACGTCTCCATTGGAGACTTTGTTGTTACTGTGTCTGGCATATCGAATACTCTCGGTAGCTTGCCGAGCTCTCCGAGAGGGGCGGAGGAATCGAACTCGGGTCGGCCATGTTGGCCGCTACTAAGGCGAACGCCCTACCACTGTGCTATTGCTCCAGCCCGAATACAAGTACTAGATTATGACACCAATCTAAACGCTCTTTCTGAGAGGTACTTGGCCAAGAGAGGGGAGAGGATAGAAGTTGGAGTATAGGAAGTTAAAGGAGTTGGCCTTGCACTTGACCTGGGTTCAATAGCTGGCACTGCATATGGTCCCCTCCAAGCACCACCAGAGGTCCCTTCTGGACACTGAGCCAGGAACAGCCCCTGAACACTGCCAGGGATGCCAAAATTAAGAGGACAGAGGACAGGGAATGAAAATGGAGAGTTCAGCCCTTGGCTTAGAGCTAAAACCATGTAAGAGAAGCAGAGGGAGATGCAAATCAATACAGAAGTGAAAGGCGAGAACTAAAAGTTACTTCCTGGTGATGTCCTCCTCCCAGGGAAACGAGATCTTGTAAATGAAGCTATGCTTTCAAACACTGAACAAAAAGTGGTTCCAGGGAGGGGTTTTCTTTTTTTAAGTCCAGTAGAAGCTGGCTATGGGTAAGACAGACAAACAAATTTGCAAGGATGGGGTGGGAGGAAGAATTCTTGATTTTTTGTTCCATATTTCATAGATATAGATATATCACTGTCCTCCCATTGTTCATCGATTTGCTCAAGCAGGCCCAGTAACATCTCCATCATGAGACTTGTTGTTACTGTGTTTGGCATATCGAATACATCACGGGTGGCTTGCCAGGCTCTGCCGTGCGGGCGAGATACTCTTGGTAGCTTGCCGGGCTCTCCGAGAAGGGTGGAGGAATCGAACTCGGGTCGGCCATGTTGGCTGCGTGCAAGGCAAACGCCCTACCTCTGTGCTATCGCTCGGCCTTTTGGCTAAGATCAAGTGTAGTATCCATATTTCATATATGGAATTATCCAAGACACTTTCCATGGTTTCAAAATCACTTAGGATTTACACCTTACACATGCATGGAGTTCTTCCTGCACATGGGATTCATGCCTGAGAACCCTGAGGGGAGCCAATCTCTGTGCATGAAACCATGACTCATCCCCCGAAGCTGTGTGGCCATGGCTTTCCAACAGACACGCTGGGCAGAACCCTCGAGTCTCCCAAGTTAAGAACGACCCGCCTCGTGGGCAGGTAGAAGACCGAAACTTAACAGCAGGTGTAGAAGCTGTGTGTGTCTCTTCAAATCCTGTTTCTAAACTGTGTCCACTGAGATGGCCTCTGCTCATTAGGGAAAGAGGGGATGCCGGGGAAACGGTCTCTACTCCTGAGGTCTAAGAAATGATTCGGGTTAGATTCGGTAAGCCCTGGTGCCCTAGAGCAGACTTGTTACTTACTTTTCTGGAAAACCAAACCAACACTCACTTTTTTTTTCTTTTGGGGTCCTACCTGGCGATGAACAGGAGCTAGTTACTCCTGGCTCTGCACTCAGGAATTACTCCTGGAGGTTCTCAGGGGACCATATGGGATGCTGGGGGTCAAAGCCGGGTTGGCCACATGCAAGGCAAATGCACTACCCACTGTGTTATCGCTCCAGCCCCACCAACACTTACTTTCAAAGTCTCTTTGCCACCTCCTTGGGCGAAACACACGATGGGGATCTTGCCTCCGTAGTTGGATTCTGTAAGACACACAGAGTCAGGCTTACCGGGGGCAAGGCTACCTCCAGGAGAGCCAGACCAGGAGCCACAGCCCTGTAAGCCCAGTGGACAACATCATGCCGTTGCTGCGGACCCCACAGACTAGACCATCTGCTCACTGGGCATCCGGAAGAACAGGACAAGAGTCTTTGACCAGCCTTTAAAATGCCTTTTGACTTCCCTGATAAATATTAAGCCAGAGTCAAGTTTATTCTTATGGTAATGATGCCCTCTCTCGTTCGCACAATCCCATGCTTTCTGGGCTAGACAGATTGGCACGAGCCCATGCTGGCTGTCCTTAGGACAGCACTGATGATGTGTCTTCTTTCTTGGTGTGTGTCCCATTGTAGGGAAGGGGTTGAGAACGCCTGCAACAGTTCCCCTGATGAAGCCTTGGGCCATTTTGAGAGAGGATCTGGTGCTACCAGCAGACCTGTCTCAGCGCCTTCAGGAGAGGCTGTTCCAAGGCCAGGGAGGCACCGAAGGTAGGGAGCTGCCTCATCCGTGGCCAACACAGGGTTGATCCCCAGCACCACAAACGGTCTTGAGCCCCAAGCAGGAGTGACCTCTGAGCACGGAGCTAGGAGTAATCCTTGAACACTATCAGGTGTGCCCTCCAAAATAATAATAATAATATTAATAATAATTATCACTGTTACTGTCCTCCTGTTGTTTATCAATTTGCTTGAGCGGGCCCATAACATTGTGAGACTTGTTACTGTGTTTGGCATATTGAATACATCACGAGTAGCTTGCCAGGCTTTTCCGTGTGGGCGAGATACTCTTGGTAGCTTGCCGGGCTCTCAGAGAGGGGCGGAGCAATCGAACCTGGGTTGGCCATGTTGGCTGCATGCAAGGCAAACACCTTACCCGCTGTGCTATTGCTCCAGCCCAATAATAAAATAATAATAATAATAATAATAATAATAGCACTGTAGCACTGTCCTCCCATTGTTCATTGATTTGCTCAAGTGGGCCCAGTAACATCTCCATTGTGAGGCTTGTTGTCACTGTTTTGGGGCAGGAGACTCTTAGCACAGCGGGTAGGACATTTGCCTTGCACGTGGCTGACCTGGGTTCGATTCCTCCACCCCTCTCGGAGAGCCCAGCAAGCTACTGGGAGTATCCTGCCCACATGGAAAAGTCTGGCAAGCTCCCTATGATGTATTCAATATGCCAAAAGCAGTAACAACAAGTCTCCCAATAATAATAATAATCGGTCATGGTCCTCCAGTTGTTCATCGATTTGCTCAAGCAGGCCCAGTAATGTCTCCATCATGAGACTTGTTGTTACTGTGTTTTGGCATATCGAATACATCACGGGTAGCTTGCCAGGCTCTGCCGTGCGAGTGAGATACTCTCGGTAGCTTGCTGGGCTCTCCGAGAGGGGCGGAGGAATCGAACTCGGGTCGGCCATGTTGGCTGTGTGCAAGGCAAATGCCCTATCGCTGTGCTATAGCTCCAGCCCTAATAATAATAAAATAATAATAATAAAGGTAAAGGTAAAGGCCCTCCCGTTGATCGTCGATTTGCTCGAGCGGGCCCAGTAACGTCTCCATTGGAGACTTTGTTGTTACTGTGTCTGGCATATCGAATACGTCACGGGGATAATATATAATAATAATAATAATAAATCAGAGAGAAGAGCTGTGTGCATTTCATTTCATTCATTCATTTCATCATCCTGTTATTCGTCGATTGCCTCGAGCAGGCCCCAGTAACGTCTCTTTTATCCTAACCCTGAGATTGTATTCAAGGCTCTTTAGGAGAATGAGACCCATCATTGTTACTGGTATTTGGCATATTGGGTACGCCACGGGGAGTTTGCCAGACTCTGCCCTGTGGGCAGGCTACATTCGATAGCCTGCAAGTTTGTCCAAAGTAGGAATGAGATGATAAGATGTCATAAAAGATGTCCTGATAAGATGTCGCGCGGCCGCAAATGCGGCCGCGCGGTTCCAGGAGCTGGATTTAATAGTCTCTGACATTACCATGTCAAATAAAGCTTGCTCCCCTAGAAATCTGTACTTTAGGTGATTCTATTATACACAAGACTCTTCTATTTTATTCTATTCTATTACTTTAGGTGGTTCTATTATTTTAGGTGCTCTATTATCCACAAGAGCACTGGAGCGGTAGCACAGCGGGTAAGGCGTTTGCCTTGCATGCGGCCGACCCAGGTTCGATTCCTCCATCCCTTTCAGAGAGCTTGGCAAGCTACCGAGAGCATTCCACCCCCACAGCAGAGCCTGGCAATACGCTCCCTGTGGTATATTCGATACTCCAGACACAGTCACAACAAGTCTCACAATGGAGGTGTTACTGGTGCCCGCTCGAGCAAATTGATGAATAACGGGGTGACAGTGCTATAGTGCTACTACTATACACAAGATTACTCTATTACTATTCTATTCTATTGCTTCAGTTGGTTCTATTACTTCAGGTGGTCTATTACTTTAGGTGGTTCTATTATACACAGGATTATTCTATTACTATTCTATTCTATTCCTTAAGGTGTTCTATTACTTTAGGTGACTCTATTACTTTAGGTGGTCCTACTATACGCAAGCTCTCCCCTGTTTGACGAGGGGGGTATTTTGTATTTTCACCACTTCCTGCCCTAATCACGGCATGGCTTGGGTAATGCCCATCTGCAGAGTGATTCTATCCATCCTTTGACGGTTCCTGGCAGAAAAGCCAGCAGGGTCTCTACCACCAGAGTGGGACACTTTCCATTTTTCCAGCAGAGAATATATTACAGGGTCCTGGGCAGAAGCCCCTTAAGGTACAAGAGAGAAAAAAAGAAGAGAAGAAACGCCCCTCTTTGGACTAAGACCCACAGCAGGACCCAACGCAATCGTGGGGCATGACTACGGGTGGAGGAGAGGCCCCCGTACTCTGGCACATGCCCCGACCCCAACCCGAACACTGGCCTTGGATAGTGCGCTCAGAAATGTACTTCTCCAGCTGGTTCCGGAGCTTGGCTTCCACCGTGGGGTGTCCGTGGCAGCCGTTGTCCACGAGCAGCAGGTGGGTGTGGTTGTTGTCCAGGATGTACAGGGGGTCTCGCTTAAAGTCATCCATCATGTACTGTGCTGAAAAATAGCCCTGAAGAGCACAGCAATTTTTGGAGGGGGGCGGGTTGGGTTTCCCTCCCCGCCCTAAGCAGAGCTCCGGCAGCTGAAGATCTCCAAAACCAGTCACAAACATGCTGAGACCACTCTCCACACGCATGAAGGTACCGGCAGAGGAACAAAGGCATGTGGGTCCCGGGGCTGAGATCTCCAAGCCTGCTCGGATCAGGGCAGAGCATCCTCCACCCAGATCCTCCATCATCCAGTAGGCAGGGTCACACCCATCAACTGGCCCCCAGCACCGTGTAATCCCATCAATGGCCAAGACCCAGAGACTATAAAACCCAGCTCCCGGCCACGCGACTTTTTGTTAGCTCATTCTTACTGTGGACAACCTGGCAGGCTACCGAACGTAACCTGCCCACACGGCAGAGTCTGGCAAACTCCCCATGGCGTACCCAATATGCCAAATACCAGTAACAATGATGGGTCTCATTCTCCTAACCCTGAAAGAGCCTTGAATATGGCACTTTTTAAAATCTCAGGGCTAGGACGAAGGAGACGTTACTGGGGCCTGCTCGAGGCAATCGATGAACAACAGAATGATCATGATCATGATCGTGATTGGTTGGAGTGGTGTGAGGACATTTGCAAATATTCCTGCAGAGATTACGCCCTTGAGTTCAACTAGACTGACGCCTCCTCCAATAGTCTTTGGTTCCAAAGGGTCACAAGAGATCTGCTAGGAGCTGGAGTCCTGGTTCAACAGGTTGGGGTCTAAGGGAAGTCCCAATAAAAAAAGAAAAAAAAAACTATGAACCATGAGTCTGTCTATAACTTGCTTCTGTGAGAATCCAGGAAAATCCCGTTTTCTCTACACCTCAGCTTTCCCGTCTGGGCAGTGGTGTTTCTCACCTCACAAGGTCAATAATGAAAACTGAGTCAGTTAATTTACGTAAAACCCGATACACAGAATGCTCTGTTAAATAAACAATATTTAACACAGGCATTAGATGGTAGCATGGGGTTTCTCTTTGCTCGTCAAGCTTATATGACTATGCGTTTCACTCTGCGGGAAGCTCTGATCACATGAAAAGCACTAGTTTTCATGTGCTCTCATTTTCATCATTTTCTAAGAGATGAGCTGTTATGCTTTTGAAAGTTTATTGACCCAGTAGTGACCCAGCAAGAAAGGCATTGATTAGTTTCTTAATGTCCAAGTGAGCAGAACTTCCTGTTGAATGTTTTCACATTCGTTTCAAGATGCTATCCTCCATGGGGCCCCTGACTGAACAGATGCTGTATGTAGATTGGGGGGAGATGCTGAATTTTACAAAGCTGTTGGGGTGAGATGGATTAAATATAGATTCTGTGCTCACCATGGCAATGCCGGGGCCACCCTAAGCTGATCCTGTACCCAAAGGTTTGTCTATTAGCAAACGCTGCTAACAGACCAGGGTGCGCTTCCCCACACAGAATCCTGCCCCTGAAGTGGGAACTCGCGTGAGCCTCGAGCACCTAGGACTAACAATGCTGCCACCATTCACTGGGTTCAACTAATCTAGTCCAAGATGACACCAAGTCATGAGAATGACCCAGAGCTGGGCGGTGCAATTAGGAAGATCTGTCCACACAGACCTTCTCCGTCCCCAAAGCCCGCCTCCCCTCACTCCCCCAGGCTGTTCTGGAGCGGGTCAGGAAATGTCTCCCCACCTCCAACACCCTAGACAAGCCACAGAAGTGGTAAATGGCACAGGAGGAACGCCATCTTTACAAGATGAAATAAACCAGGAGAATTCTCCTAATCAATCCTTCACATGCACCAACTACATGCTAGGGTAGTTAGGCAAAGCCTGTCTGGGGGAGGGGTGGATTAAACTGGGGTGTCTGAACACCTGGCAGGCCAGAGTTTCTGAGAACACCTGGTTTTCGAGGAAGCTCAGGAGTCACCCAAAAAGCTATTTAGAGCAATTCTAACATGACACAGAATCCTGGGATGGCCTTACATTCAGCCACCAAGAACATGTGGATTCCTCTCTAAATGTGCTCACAGGGAGGAACGGGCAGAAAAACCCAGGTATGCGGGACCCGTGACTGAGATCTCCAAGCGCACTTGGGTCGGGACTGGGCCTCCTCCCCCCATCTCCCCAGTTTTCCAGTAGCTTGGCAATCACATCCACAAACTGCCCCCAGCGCCATGTAATCTCATCAACGGCCAAGACCCAGAGACTCTAAACCAAAGCTCCCAGAAGAGAGCGATACAGAATTTCCTGGAGTGACCTCCTACACTCTAGCCCATTTACGTACCAAAAGTAGCACACATCTGTTTGGTTTTAACATGCTTGCTTGTATTCTCTTATATTTGGGCTTAAACGGCTCCAGAATGAAACCCAACAACCTTCACACACTTTCCTCTTACTGTGGTGGGAAGGTGCTCAGTGGTGGGATTGGTGTTTGAATATTATCTGTATGAACTATTGTGAACTACTTTTATGATAACAAAATATATTTAATAAATAAATAGATGTGCTCACAGGGAATTGGGGGGAGAGGGGGATGTTCTCACAACCCTTTTGGGTTTTGTGTCAACCATACCACACTATGCTCAGGACTCACTCCTGGCCCTCTGTCTTGGGACCACTTCTGGTGGTGCTCAGCGGAACATATGCAGTGCCGGGGTCCCTGAATGCCTAGTAAGTGCCTGACCCGCAGCTGCCTCCCGGTCCTCTCACGCCAAGTAAAGCAACCAAGGACAAAGCATTGGTTTCCATGCCTTGAGCTCATCCAGCAGACAGGGTTTGTGGCCTCAGGCCTTCACATGAAACCATCATAGATAACATAGGATATAAAACCTGGATCTAACACAGCATTGCCGGGAACAATAGCGTGTGTGTGTGTGCATGCATGCGTGCCCGTGCGCGTGTGCACACACATATATGAATTTTTATTTTGCTTGATATTTTGTGTGATATTTTACTGTGATATTTTGTTTGATTTCTGTTTTGGGCATTATTATTTACAATACTCTCCACAATGGGGTTTCGTGAAGATGAGGGCCCAACACCACGCCCTCCACCAGAGCGCCCTCTCCCTCAACCCACCGCCTCCCACCCCGCCAAAGTGAGCCCAGCTCTGCAGAGCGTTCTCAAGTTCGATTACCCCGGTTGATGGTTCACTGCTCTTCTTTTGAGCCCATACAGGAGAGAGACCATTCCAAACGGGAACAAATGCTAATGCCCAGAACACCTCCATCCAGAAACTCCTCCCAGGGTCCTTGGGCTTCAATCCCCGGGGTCCTGGGGGTATCCCTCACTGGGCCGGCAGCGTCTCAGAGGCCTGTGCTCAAGCACGCATGAGGTCCAGCGGTACCTGGTCGTCAGAGCTCCGGATGAGGCTCTCCCTGTTGGAGACCATGCCCCAGGCCGCGATGCCGATGGCCACGATGTTCTCCTCGGAGCTCCGGCTGATGGTGTTGTCACGCACCACCTCCCCGATGTTCTTCATCAGGCCGTAGTGGGTCCCGCCTGTGAGGATCCATGCGCCTGGGGGCCCGGGGGAAGAGCAGGCAGGAAGCTATGGTCACGGATCCCAAAGAAGCCCCCTGGGCCCCAGCACGACCCGGTGCTAGGGGAAGGACAGAGGGAGGGTCTCGGGCGGCAAACCCCATGGGCCCCTCGATGGCCCTCATCAGGGTCTCAGCCGGGATCTGGGAGCCACTTCAGGAATGGGTTTGGTGGGATGTAATAAACACTGCTCTAGGCCCTCAGGGAAGCTGGGCAGGGTCTCTCAGGTCACAGGACCCACCCCAGCCTCTGCTCCGTGGATGGCAGTGACTTTCCGGCTAGCCCCGAGCCTGCAGTGTGGGGGCCACTGTGACACCCAGTGTGGGAGTCTCTTTGGTCCTGCAGTGTGGGGGTCTCTGTGGTCACACACTGGTTTCTGTAGTCACCCTGTGAGGTTTCTGTGTCATACTCTGTGGCGTCGCTGTGGTCACTCTCTGTGGGGTCTCTGTGGTCACTCTCTGTGGGAGTCTCTGTGGTCACACTCTGTGGGGTCTCTGTGGTCACACTCTGTGGGGTCTCTGCGGTCACACTCTGGGGGGTCTCTGTGGTCACACTCTGTGGGGTCTCTGTGGTCACACTCTGTGGGGTCTCTGCGGTCACACTCTGGGGGGTCTCTGTGGTCACACTCTGTGGGGTCTCTGTGGTCACACTCTGTGGGGTCTCTGCGGTCACACTCTGGGGGGTCTCTGTGATCACTCTCTGTAGTCAGACTCTGTGGGAGTCTCTGTGGTCACTCTCTGTGGGGGTCTCTGTGGTCACACTCTGTGGGTTCTCTGTGGTCACACTCTGTGGGGTCTCTGCGGTCACACTCTGTGGGGTCTCTGCGGTCACTCTCTGTGGGGGTCTCTGGGTCACTCTCTGTGGGGGTCTCTGTGGTCACTCTCTGTGAGGTCTCTGTGGTCACACTCTGTGGGGTCTCTGCGGTCACACTCTGGGGGGGTCTCTGTGATCACTCTCTGCGGTCACTCTCTGTGGGGGTTCTCCGTGGTCACTCTCTTCTGCTCTCGGGGGCTTCAGCGCTGCCCTACCCGGTGCAAGCGTCCTGGGGGCTGCTTCCCCATCTCTCTCTGACCCGAGACCCCCCGCGGCCCCCCACCTTTGGACTGGGCGATGTAGATGAGGCGGCTGAAGATCTTGCGCATGCGCGGTTTCAGCGAGAAGTTCTTGGCGCCGCCGGTCACGGAGATGACCAGGTTGGGCGTCTTCAGGTGCCAGTGTTGGGTCAGCAGCTCGTACAGCGTCTCGGCGTCCGTGTCGCAGGACAGGCGGATGTACTGCGGGCAGGGGCCGAGTCAGACCGGCTGGGCTGCGGGGGCCCTGGGCCGGGACCCCTGCAGTGGCTGAGCCCACAGACAAGGGGTGGGAGCCCCCCATCCAGCGCAGGCCTGGGACCCTTGGGATGGAGAGGCTGGAGCTGGCTCGGCCAGCCTAGGGAGGGTCCAGCCTCTGGGGCGCAGGACGCAGGAGAAAGAAGGGGCTTGAGGACCACAGGGCAAGGCCACCTGATTTGGGGGCTTCGTGTTCTCAGGGCCCCCTTAGACTATGCACAACCATCACAGAGCAATAATGGGGTGGCATGAGGGAAAGGGGCCCTATGTCCTGTGTCCACCCTCCAGGTGACAGGAGCCACCAGCAGCCACGCCATGCCTGTGACACGGTGACTCTCTCTTGGCACCCTATTTGGGCGGGCTGCACCCCACCCCGGATGCCCCCTCCCACCTGCATACACGCGTCCTGGGACCTTCCCTGGGACTCCAAACCAGTCTGGCATGTGGGCGCCCCAGGGAGACCAAGCCCGGCACTCACCTTCCCTTTCTTTCCCAGGCTCTCAAACTGGATGTCCCCGAAGGCGTCGGTGGGGAACTCCTTGGTGTGCTTCTTGTAGTTCCACTTCTCGCTGAGGTTGACCTGGGTGCCCTCGATGTGCTGGCTCTGTGCGTAGCCACATTTGCACACGTTTTCCCTGAGTGCGGGGCGGGAAAGGAAGAGAGTTCGTTAAAGTGAGTTGACTCTTGCTCTGGGAACAAACCTCACACTCTGGTGAAAGAAGCACGGGGGTGAGTTCTCCAGCGAGTCTCACTCAGAGACTACTTGCAGCAGCATCTCGACTGCTGGTTTAAAAACCTTCTTGGCAACTTTGGTACATCTACACAATGGAATACTATGCAGCTGTTAGAAAAGATGAAGTCACGAAATTCGCATGCAAGTGGATTAACATGGAGAGTATCATGCTGAGTGAAATGAGGCAGAGAGGGGAATAGACATAGAATGACGGCACTCACTTGTAGAAAATAAAGTAACATAATGGAAGACTTAACACCCAAGGATCGTAGAGATAAGGGTCATGAGGATCCCTCTATGGCTTGGGAGCTGGCCTCACATGCTGGGGGAGAAGGCAGCTGGAATACAGACGGGACCACCAAGTAAAGAATGCGTGGAGGGCTCTCCCGGGATAGGAGATATGTGCTGAAAGTAGACTATGATGGCCACTTAGTACCTGTATTGCAAACCATAGCACCCAACAGGAGAGAGAGAGTAAAAGGGAATGTGCCTGCCACAGAGGCAGGGGGTGGAGAGGGTGGTGGGTGGGATACTGAGAACATTGGTGGTGGAGAATGGGCACTGGTGGAGGGATGAGTACTCGATCACTGTATGACTGAAACGTAATCACAAAAGTATGTAAGTCTGTAAGTGTATCTTACGGTGATTCGTTAAAAAATAAATAAATTTAAATTTAAATAAACAAATCACTGTATCACTCTCATCCCATTGTTCAGTGAGTTACTCCAGCATCTCCATTCATCCCAGGCCTGAGATTTTAGCAGCCTCTCCTGACTCGTCTTTCCCAAACGCCGCCATATTGGAGGCTCTTTCAGGGTCAGGGGAATGAGACCCGTTATTGTTATTGTTTTTGGCATATTGAATATGCCACGGGAGCTTGCCAGCCTCTGCTGAAATAAATAAATAAATAAATAAATAAATAAATAAATAAAACCCTTCTGGGTGTTTCCACCTATGTCTTCCCACCACCACCAAAGCGGTCCAGTGTGAAAGGCTGGAGGCCCTGCCTAGGGGGGTCTCTCTCGTGGGGACTGAGCCCTCAGCATCTGGAGGCGAGTTCACAGCTTCCTGCAGGGATCTGACCCACAGGACTGCAGGGCCGACCTCCGGGCCAACTGGCCTGGCCCACAGTGCTGCCCGGGCAGGCGCTGAGCTGTCCTCCCGGGGGCCCTGGCTGGAAAGAGGGGCTCCCTGGGCAGGGCCCAGAGTGATTTGGACGTCAGGGACACAGCCTTGCTGTGCTGCATTTGGGGGGAAGAGGGGTCTAGGACAAGCTGCTTGGCAGGACATGTAGTGCAATAAACAACTGGTTCTGTCCCACCAGAAGTGTCTGGGGAGGGCCCGGGGGCAGCTCAGGGGGAGAGCACATGATGGCCATAGGGATGGCAGGCCGGGTTCAAGTCTGGCCATCCTCACCGCCATCCTCAAAGCATAGCAGGAGAACCAGGGGGAAGGGACAGGGCTCAGGGCACAGGCCCAGGATTGATCCCAGGCACCGCACAGTCCCCAGAGCACCCCCAGAGACCAGAGCACCCTAGGGTGACCCCATTAGTCCCCGGCACTGCCAGGCCCCAGAGGCGCCTCATTCTTGGGCCCTGGCACTGGACTGCCGGCCCCGTTGGCTAAGCTCTGCCAGGAGGACCCCCGAGGGCCCCAAGCACTGCTTGAGAGTCCCCAGCCCACGCCTAGATGAAAGGAGGGTGTGACAGAGCCACGCTGAGCCGAGTATGCTTTGCCCGACGCACACGACTTGGAACTGCAGAGAGTAGCCACCCAGCAGGAGGCCTCTCCCACCACCTCTGTCCAGTGTGCTGGCCAGGGCATTGGGAGAGCCACTAGGAGACCCAGACGGAGCTTCCCAGCAGCCAGCACCAAGCCGGACCCTCCCCGCCTCCCCTGCAGGGCGCCAGACCCTGCAGAGTCACTGAGGACCTGGCCAAATGCTCCCTGGATCCCAGCACTGTCCCCCAGCTTGCTGGCAGACTCACAGGCCCCCAGGCCCCATGAGGTTCGCCAGAGACCACGGTGGTGCCAGGCGGGCGCCTCAGGGAGTAGCAAGGGGCTAAGGCCACAGCAGAGAAGCAGACAAGAGGAGCCCCAGACCTGTGTGCCCAGGCTCAACTGCATCCCAGAGGAGGGGACCAAGGCCCCTAGTAAGGAGCCGGCAGAGAACCCCCCCCCCCCGCCAAGAGCCAGGAGAGACCCCCCCAGCCATGAACCAGCAGAGACCTCCAGCCAGGAGCCAGGCAAGACCACCCCAGCCAGGAGCCCGGCGAGACCACCCCAGCCAGGAGCCAGGTGAGACCACCACAGCCAGTAGCCAGGCAAGACCACCCCAGTCAGGAGCCAGCAGAGACCTCCAGCCAGGAGCCAGGTGAGACCACCCCATCCAGGAGCTGGCAGAGACCACCCCCCAGTCAGGAGCCGGCAGAGACCCCAGCCAGGAGCCAGATGAGATCATACCCCAGTCAGGAGAGACCACCCCAGCCAGGAGCCAGCAGAGATCCAAGCCAGGAGCCAGACAAGACCACCCCAGCCAGGAGCCAGGCGAGACCATCCCAGCTAGGAGTTAGGCGAGACCACCTCCAAGCCAGAAGCCAGGTGAGACCACCTCAGCCAGGAGCCAGCAGAGAACTCCAGCCAGGAGCCAGGTGAGACCACCCCATCCAGGAGCTGGCAGAGACCACCCCCCCAGACAGGAGCCGGCAGAGACCCCAGCCAGGAGCCAGGTGAGACCATACTCCAGCCAGGAGAGACCACCCCAGCCAGGAGCCAGCAGAGACCCGCAGCCAGGAGCCAGGCATGACCAGGCGCCCTGCAGCCATCCTTGTCCCCCGCTGCTGCAGCGCCCTGCCCATCCCTCCTGGGGGCTGCCCCCCAGTCTCTTGGCTTCCTCAGTCCATGGACAAGAGCCAGAAGGGAGCCCCAAGCTGGGCTGCGTGCCCGGGGGAGAGTGGCAAGTCAGGGCCCAGAGGTCACAGGGAGCAGCGGGAAATGCATCTCGGGCGCTGGACAGCTGGAGGAGCAGGGGACAACGGGACGAGTCACCAGTAGCAGCCACGGGCCCTCACGTCCCAGGACAGGCCCAGTGTACCCCGCTGCCCACATCCACATGGGATCAGAGCTCATCTCGGCAACCCAGGTCCCACAATACGTGGTCACCAGCCTATTCACAAAGGTGCCCCCGTGGTAAATCTAGGACCGTGTCCGACACAGAACTTTGATCCTGCTGACCCCTGAGCGATGTGTGCCGTCCACAGCCTGGCCGGCCATGCGTGGTCACCCCAGAGAAAAGTGTCCTGAACAGGCCAGACCCAAGAAGGTGGACCCGGAAGTGCTCTGCCAGTGTTCGCTCCCAGGTAAGCTCCGTCCTCCCGTGTTCTGGCTTCTGCACTTATCAGGGTGCTTGTGAGCCCCCAGGCTGACCCTGTATCCCCACAACCCTGCGGGGGGCGGTGCCCAGAGGCACGAGGCCGCCTCCCTGCAGTAACTTCTCTGACAGGTGCCCGATGTCAGATGGATCCCAGACCCTGGGGCTGGGCCGGCACGTTCATTTCCCAGAAAGATGACAACATTCTTCATGCACATCTGAGGCTGTCTAAAAATACCCCAGGGGCAGAAGCTTTCTGCAAAGTTCCAGCCCTCTCCAGAGCCAGAATGCAATTCCATCATGGCCAAAGCTCCACTCCCTGGCGGTGCCGGGCTCTGCCAGTGGCAAGACCTGGAGTGGGAAGCCCAGGTGAGGACGAAGTCCACTGCACAACACCTTCTTCTAAGGAGGAACAAGTGTGGCCCCAGAGGAACCTGCCAGCCACTGGCTCTCCTGGGGTGATACCTCTGTTAAAGCATCAGTGTGAGACCCCAACAATGCCCTGGCCACCTCACGACTCACACAAGCCCAGTCACAGCACAGAGTCTTGTGGACTGTCCACAGGAGCCAGAGGCAGAAGGGAACGCAGGACGGACAGCAAAATTCCTTTCAGGGACATCCAGAGGGAGGATAAAAAAAAATTGTCCCTGTGCCCTCATAGGGTTGGCTCGGCATGTGGAGACAAGCAACATGGCATGATTTATCTACCAGGAAAGAGGAGCCGTAACTGCGAATGAGAGCACTCGGTCCCGTGTCCCAGCTGCGTCCTCACCATTCGAGGGCTCTGCAGGGTCCAGGCGGCACCCCTGGTTCCCGACAGAGCACCCCAGCCCTTCGGAGGCTGAGCGAGCTGGGGTGCCTTGGAACAGAACGTCTGGACACGAGCCACAGTCAAAATATATTTCAAAACATTTGGTGTTTTCTAGAGGTATAAAATGTCAGTAGAGCTGGGTGCAAGTATCACACCTCAGCTGGGAACTGATTCCTTGGGTATCACTCGGTTTGCGGGGGAAAGAAAGAAAAGAGAAAAACATGAGAATTGAGTACGATGTCTGCAGCCCTCCCCCCTCCCCACGCCCCTGAGCTGGGTGCTCCCCTGGGCCTCAAGCTCGACCCGCCAGGTGCCATCAGAACTCTCCCTGTCCCTCGATTGTCCCCATCCCACTAGCCATGGAGTCTGCGAGTCACCAGCTCAGGGAGGGGCTGGGAAAGAAGCACCTTTCCCCGGGCTCACTCTAACTGAAAGTCAACTCCCTCTCTTTCTCTCTCTCTCTCTCTCTCTCTCTCTCTCTCTCTCTCTCTCTCTCTCCTCTCTCTCTCTCTCTTGCATCTCACTAGCCTTGACCAACAAAATAACTGCATGCCACCTTGATGTTCTTTGCCCCCAAAGTCCCAGTTGGTTTCCAAAAGGCAAGAGGAGGCCAGGATGATGTCCAGGTAGGCGGTCAGGAGTGGAGGTGCCCAGGGAGGGAAGGAGTGACCGAGGGGAGAGACCCAGGGGGCAGGGGATCTTGAGGGCCAAATGTTCTTTCCCAGAGAAGGGTGACACCCCCCTCCCAACTACACTGCCAGTATGGCAGCCATAGGCCACGGGGGGAGGAGGGGAGATTTACGTTTAATAACGTTCAAATGTCCTAACAATTTCTTGATCATGTTGGCCGGGTTTCAGAGACCGCAGGGCCGTGCGGGGCTGGGGTTGCCATCTTAGATGCTCCAGCAAAGTGATCCATTGCGTGGAGCTGTTCCCACACAGAGGATGATCATGTGATAAGACGGTGAAGGGGGCAGCCTCAGTTTCCCCTTGCCGGTCATAGAGGAAGCCACAGATTTATCTTGCCAAGTGTTTCATCTCTCTCCCATCCACCTAACACACCCTTCATCCCCCAAGGTCCTGTCTGAATATCCCAGGAGTTCCTCGGGGCCATAAAACTCTGCCCTGGAGCTTGGGCTCATGGGAAGCCCGCAGTGCCTGAGGCAGATGTCTAGAAAGGCAAACCAGTGAGTTCCTTGCATCCTCTGGACCGTTTGTCAATTGAGAAGAAATTCAATTGAGCAGAGAGCCTTTAAAAGAGGTTGCACAAACAGAGTGATAGCACAACGGGTTGGGCGTTTGCCTTGCATGCGGCCGACCTAGGTTCAATTCCTCCGTCCCTTTCAGAGAGACTGGCAAGCTACCGAGAGTATCCCACCCGCCCGGCAGAGCCTGGCAAGCTACCCCTGGCATATTCGATATGCCAAAAACAGGAACAAGTCTCACAATGAAGATGTTACTGGTGCCCACTTGAGCAAATTGATGAACAACGGGAAGACAGTGCTACATATTAAGTTCCTCTCACTTGGGAGGCTCCTTTTCTTTTCTCTTCTACTTTCCAATAGAATTCTCTACTTTCCAACTCTGAGTCTGAACATCTTTATTATTCAATATCTTCATTCTTTTTTTTTTTCATTGCTTTCTGTACTCCAGTACATTTTTTTCTTCTTAAATTTTTATTAGTGAAACACCATGAGGTACAGTTGTAGACTTACAAATTTTTGTGCTTGGGTTTCAGTTATAAAATGATCGAATACCCATCCCTGCACCAGCGCCCATTCTCCACCACCACTGATCCCAGTATCCCTCCCCTCATCCCCCATCCCACCCTACCTCTGTGGCAGGGCATTCCCTCTTGTTCTCTCTCTCCTTCTGAGTGCTGTGGTTTGCAAAAGAGACACTGAGTAGCAATCATGTTCGGTCTATAGTCTACTCTCATCACACATCTCCCATCCTGAGAGGTACCTCCCAACACCCTTTATTTGGTGCTCCCTTCTCTATATGAGCTGCCTTTTCCCCTAGCATGTGAAATACCAGGAGGATTACTCAATATCTTCATTCCTGACACAGAACGCCACCACTGCTTTCTCCTCACCTGCATCAACGGGACAGCCCAGAGACAAACAAGGGAGGAGCAAGGCCCAGAGTATCGGGACCGCTCTGAGCAACACCGGCCATGGCCACACATGGCAATGGGCCCTGGACTCAGGGGACAGTCTCAGCGCTGTCACCGTCTGTTGCTCCAGCTTAGAAGGGAAACCGGCTAACCTCGCTCTAACTACTTACACATTCCCCTGCTCATACCCCACCTCTGAGAACAGCGAGCTGGCGAAGATCTTGTGAGCCTTTGTGGACTGTTCATCCCTGTGGCTAAGAACTGATTTTCTTAACAGGGAACCGTAAAAGGGGAAGAAGCAGAAAAGTCACTTACGTGGCCTTGGAATCTTTGGTGAAGAAGACACATTCTCGTTTCTTAAAGTTTGCTTGAATGAAATTCACCAAGTCCTTGGGAGAAAGAGCATCAAAAAACACCTTACCGGGGCAGGAGCGATAGTACAGCGTGCAGTTTGCCATGCACACGGCCGACCCGGGTTCGATTCCCAGCATCCCATAGGGTCCCCCGAGCACCGCCAGGGGTAATTCCTGAGCAAAGAGCCAGAAATAACCCCTCTGCATCGCGTTCTCATAGCGCCCCGCATCCTCTGTGCGTTCGGGGCACATGCCCTTTTGTGATTTTAAAGAGTCTTCCATTTCAAGTTCTAAAACTAGATGCAATCATGTTCTCAAAGTCCCTTGGAGCTATCTTGCAATAAATGTCATCACACACATATAAATCATGTTCTCTCTCGAAGGCTCCAGGAGGATGGAAGCATTTGTCAGTAGCTTCGCATCAATAATGTATTCGCGCAGATTCTCACTGCTCCTGTGTTTGCTTTTCAAAAGAAGATATATTCCAAAGACTCCCTCCAGGGCAGTATCACTCCTCCCAGGGGCAATGTGGTAAGGCATATCTGGGACCCAATTCTGACAGGCAGCCGCAAGCCTTTATAAGCCAAAAGCTTCCCTTGAAGTTGGCAGAGGCAAACCACTTTTAAATAGCTGGAGAACACTTTGAAGATACCTAGACTCCTCAAAGTGGGAGAAGAGTTTCTGCAAGACCCATGAATCATCACAGGACTGATAAACAGAATCTGTGAAGAAGTTGCTAATCCCGGGCGAGAGCTATAGTGTGGCAGGCAGGGTGTTCGCCTTGCTGGGGGTCACTCCGGTTCAGCATCCTTGATTTTGGGCTCCGGCCCCCAAGCACTGCCAGGAGTAACTCCTGAGTTCAGAGCTGGGAGTAACACCTGAGCATTGCCGGGTGTGGCCCCCAAAACCAAAACCAAACAAACAAATAAAGCAGCACAAATCCCTAAGAATTTGGCCAGGGATGGGGCTGAGGGAGGCAGCGTTTGCCCTCTGGCATCACAAAACACAGAACCAGAAGCAAAGCAGAAAGACTGAGATCAGTCTAGCAGAAAAGGGGACGTGACGTGAGCGGGCCTGGGGTGGATAACAACAGGAAAGTCATGGGCAAACGTGTGGGTCAGATGCCCCGTGCTACAGAGACCCAGAGCGCTCCAGTGCCAGAGAGCACTTGTCTTTACGTCTAGCAAGCCTGGGGGGTGATCCCTGCACTCTGCGGGATCCCCTGAGTACCACCAAGAGGGACCCCCAAGCGCAGAGCCAGGAGTCGGCCCTCAGCACAGCTGGGTGTGGCCCAAGACAAAAAAAAATATTAAAACTCTCTTTCAAGAGAGGGACAGACATAGAAAGATTGCATTCATCTGGGGAACATAAAGTAACAAAATAGGAGACTAACACCCAAGAATAGCCGAGATTAGTACCAGGAGGTTTACTCCATGGCTTGGAGGCCAGCCACACATGCTAGGGGAAAAGGCAGCTCAGATAGAGAAGGGAGCACCAAATAAAGGGTGTTGGGAGGATCCTCCCAGGATGGGAGAAGCATGCTGAAAGTAGACTATAGACCAAACATGATTGCCACTCAATGCCTCTCTTGCAGACCACAGGACCCAAAAGGAGAGAGAGAGAACAAAAGGGAATGCCCTGCCACAGAGGCAGGGTGGGATGGGGGGATGGGGGTGGGAGGGATACTGGGATCCGTGGTGGTGAAAAATGGGCACTGGTGGATGGGTGTTTGATCATTGTATAATTGAAACCCAAGCACAAAAATTTGTAAGTCTACAACTGTACCTCATGGTGTTTCACTAAATAAAAATTTTTAAAAAATAACTCTCTTTCGAAAAGTCATCAACACCAATTGTAGATGATGGGCCAGGCCCAGGGCAGGTGAACAAACTGGCATAGTGACAGCAGACTGGGCACCACTGTTACCAAAACACAGCCCTGGGAGCAGGCAGTGTGGGTCCCTGGACAGCCTGGCAATAGGGAATCAGCCTAGGGGGCTGTCCTGTAGGGCAGAGGAAGTGGCGGAGGCCATGTAGACACACAACTTCTTCTGCAGCGTGACCTTCCAGCAGAAGGCAGTGCCCAGCCAGCCCTGCCTCCCCTGGCCCACCCTAGACCCTTCGAGGGCTGCTATACCCCTGTCTGGTCCCGGAGCCCAAAAGAAACGGGAGTCTGGGCCAGAGACATGGGATAGATGGGAGGGCACGGGCCCCACACACTCCTGGCCCAGTTCCATCCCTGGTGCTCCATGGGGTCCCCAGAGCTCAGGTTTGTTCTCCAGGCCCCCCCAGGGTCCCCCAAGCCCCAGTAGGAGCGATCCCTGAGCGCAGAACCAGGTCAGCCCCAAGAACAGCTGGGTGTGGCCCCAATACCCCCTCAACACTAAGGCTCTGGCAAGAATCAACCAGGCAGAGAAAAAGGACGAAGACTCAAGAACATTCTCTAGGATAGAAGAGAGCTCACCCATGGTAGCACTGCACTGTAGCCCTGTCCTTCCGTTGCTCATCGATTTGATCGAGCAGACACCAGTAACGTCTCCATTGTGAGACTCGCTGTTACTGTTTGGCATATCGAATACGCAACGGGGAGCTTGCCAGGCTCTGCTATGTGGGCAGGAAACTCTTGGTAGCTTGCCGGGCTCTCCGAGAGGGACAGAGGAATCGAACCCAGGTTGGCCACGTGCAAGGCAAATGCCCTGCCCCGCTGTGCTATCGCTCCAGTCCGTGGTAGATAAACAAAATGCATAAACAAATAGAGCAATAATAATAATAACAGCAATAATAATAATAATGCTTAGGCTGTGGACAAAACAGCAGTTCCTGGGGCATAAGGGGGTCGCTGTCAGCAGAGGGAGGAGAGCTGTGGTGGGCCGCCATCCTGCTGACTGCACAGATTCTGCCTCATCCTGTCAGGGCCTGACATGCCTTCAGTAGAATCATGTTAGAGGAACCATTGCTGACAGGACAGGAAGCCAGAGACGCCACACATGGAGAGACAGCGCAGCGGCTTGTCCCCCCCTCACACAGCTGTGCCATCCCTGACAGAAGGACACGAGACCCCCGTGGGGATGAACCCGCTTCTCTATATTCACATCTTTATTTTCCTGGTTTGGGATTGGGGGAGCTCACTCTGCAGTGCTCAGGGATGACTCCTGACTCTGTGCTCAGGGATGACTCCTGGCGGGGCCGGGGATTGAACCTGCATCTCTGCGTGTTGACAAGCATCCTCCCCACCCTCCCCAAGCTGTACTGGGCAGAAGGGAAATGCTCTGTGTTACTGTATCACCAAACCCGACTTTGTAGCGGTGTATCTCACAGTGATTTAATAAAAACTGTAGCACTGTCCTCCCATTGTTCATCGATTTGCTCAAGCGGGCCCAGTAATGTCTCCATTGTGAGATTTGTTGTTACTGTGTTTGGCATATCCAGTACACCACGGGGAGCTTGCCAGACTCTGCTGTGTGGGCAGGATACTCGGTAGCTTGCCGGGCTCTCCAAGAGAGACGGAGGAATAGAACCTGGGTTGGCCGGGCCGGCTGTGTGCAAGGCAAACGCCCTACCGCTGTGATATCGCTCCAAACAATCAAAATAAATAGATAATTTTCAAAGAAACTGCTGTGTTGGGTGGGGGGAGGGGGGAGTTTCCGCAGGCGGGTGTTGGCCCTGGTGACACTCACGCTCTCGCTGTAGGACACGTCGGTGCTCCTGGAGGTGCTGGAGTAGAGGGTGCGGGTGCTGTCCATGGTCCCATTCCGGCGGCTGCGCATGCTCAGCCGGGCGCCCTCGAAGGACATGGTGTCCTGCGGAGAGGAGGGAGGTGACCATGGTGGGTGGCTTGAGCACAGCCCAGCACCCCACCTGCCCGGTCCTGGTGCCCTCTGCAGCGTCCCCACCGCCGACGGGGTGTTTGGTCCTCCCTGCCCTCACCTCCTCCCATCCCCATCCCTGGACATCCTCGGGGACCTCTGTCTCTGTCCTCAGGCCTGGGGTCGGCCCTGCAGGTGGCCTCAAGGCCCCCAGGATGCCCTCTGGGGACAGCTCAGTGCAGCCCACCCTGCGGTTCACGGCGCCCGCCTCTGTGTTGGCCAGATTGGAGAGTCACAACCTGTCAGGGGCAGAGTGGTCAGGCTAGACAGCATGGGGAGTCCGCCCAGGAGGAGAGACGCCCTTCTGGGCCCTGGCTGGTGGCCTGAAGGGCACCCAAGACCCAGGCAGAGCTGCAGGGGAACGCTCGCAGGCCTGAAGCCGGCCACTCACGCTCGCAGAAGCCCCCGGCCAAGGGGCTGCCTCAGCTGCCCTCTGGCCTGCCCAGACGTCCTCCTGCCCCTTTGGCAGGGAATCCCCTCTCCCTCGCCCCAAGAGCGACTCTGTACCCCGAGAGTGGAAACGGGAGAGAAGCTTCTAGAACCAGCCTTGTCCTTCCTCCCTGGCCTCCTCCAGTGCCTGCACCCCTCCCGCCACCTTACGGGTCCCCTCCCCTGCTCCGCTCCACCTCTCCACGACCTGCTGGCTTCCCAGCCAGCCGATGCCCACCCCTCTGCCTCCAGAGCCTGCTCCCCACACCCTTCCCTTCTGGTCTGGAACCTTCTCGCCCAAACCCTCGACACCAGCCTCTCTCCTGCCGAGCCCCCAGGTGCAGCTTAGACACGCTTCAGCAGGCCAGGGCAGGGGACCCACGGCCCTCTGCCCAGCGCACCCCACTGCCTGCCACGCTACTGCCACCAGGTCGCTTAATTAGGCTTAATGCGACCCTGGCTTGATGCACAGAGAGATCACGGCCATTGTCTACTGAGTTCACAGTGGCCACAGAGATGCTACAAGGATCTGTCCCATGCTTGGAAGGTTCTAAGAATTGGGGTTCTGGAATTGGATCCTCAGCACCACAACGCCCCCCAGCACTGTTCAAGATAGCTTGACAGAGCCCCCAAATGTCATCAGGAGTGTATGGGGGGGGCACCTACTAAAAAAAAAAGCATCCTACTGCTTGAGACGAATAAATAACGCCTCTTGCCTCCAAATCCCCCCTACTTCCTAGCTTCAGAAAAGGCCATGGCAGGGCTGGAGTGATAGTACAGCGGATAGGGTGTTTGCCTTGCACGTGGCTGACCCGGGTTCAATTCCCAGCATCCCATATGGTCCCCCGAGCACCGCCAGGAGTAATTTCTGAGTGCAGAGCCAGGAGAAACCCCTGAGCAACGCCGGGTGTGACCTAAAAAGAAAAAGAAAAGAAAAGGCCACAGCAAAGGCAGAGCCACTGCCCAGCTCTGCTGTTCCAGGTCAGCCTGAGACCTGCCCTGCCCAGGCCACAGAAACTAGAAACTCCTCCAGCTGTTCTGTAGAGAAGAGTTGGTCCAGGCTGGTTAAAACCACGTGTTGCTTTTATTTTTTTTTTTAACTTCTCTCCCCAGGCGCTGGCAGGAGAGAATTAATTGGTGCTTTACATACATTACTGGGAGACCGCAGATCAATCGCCATGGCATCTACTATGATCCCCATACAGCAAAGTGCTTCTAAGTGGGGCACCGACGGTCAGGAAACAGTTTCATTTGCTTGACATGAAAAAAAATAAAACTGCTTGTTTTTGTTGCAGCGGAAAAAAAGTGTCATTTTTGCTTTCAGCCCACGGAGAAAGGGGAAGCTGAGAGCAAGGAGATCCAGCGCCCGTTGTGGCATCAAATGCCCTCCCACCGGGCAGCTAGAAAACACTTTCCAGGCTCGAGAGCTCGACAAACAGAGAGGTTAGGGGGGAGGACACTGCGCCAAGCTGAGCGGCCAGTAGGACCCCAGGGACGGTCTGGATGGAGGGGAGAGGGGTCAGGGTGTCCCCTCCCCAGCAAGACCCACCGCCAAAGGAAAGTCGGATTAACAGCCAGGAGCCGGGAGAGGGTTAAAGGATAAATCAAAGACTTGTTACATGCTAAGGAAGAGGAGTAAAATCAGAAGGTGGCTCAGAGTCTGATCCCCGGCACCTCATTCCCACCCAGCCCTGCCTGGGTGTGGGCTAGGCAGCCCCCAAGTAGAAACAACATAATCCTAATAAAATCAGCAATGAAATAAAATTAAATCACCGTGCTTGAGCAAGCAGTTCAAAGCAATAGAAAAATGAGTGAAAGACTAAGCCCCAAGTCTGCCAAATGGGGGCGACAACTCCCTCGGAACACACTAAGCTGCTTCTGTACCAAAAAGAGAACAATTACAGCCCAACAGCAATGTGGGACCCGCGCTTCCGGACCGGGAATTCCAAATAGATGGGGGCTCTACTCTGATTGGGCAGTTGGGACAGGTTCTCGCATCTGATTGGGTGAGTGGGATGCATGCTGACACGTGATTGGATGAGGGAGCGGATGCTCTCAGATCAGAGAGCAAGCGAGGCGGATGATTGGAGGACACAGAATTTCAGCACTGCGTGCAAAGCAACTGGGCCATCAGGCGCAAGACATTTAAAATGGTCAGAGTTGACACCGACTTGCCACTAGATATTCATTTCATAGGAAAAAGACGATGTAGTTTTTACCCGAGGGGAATGCAACGCCCAGACGATAGTCACTGTCACTGTCCCCCCGTTGTTCATCGATTTCCTCCAGCGGGCTCAGTAACATCTCCATTGGAGACTTTTGTTGTTACTGTGTTTGGCGTATCGAATACATCACGGGTAGCTTAGTAAGGATGAATTATAATTATATGCACTATGCAAAGAGCATTATAATTCACTGGGTGGGATGAAGAAGGAACTTCAATCTCTGATTTTATTATTATTATTGGAGAGCCCGGCCAGCTACCGAGAGTATCTCGCCCGCACGGCAGAGCCTGGCAAGCTCCCCTTGGCGTTTTCAATATGCCAAACACAGTAACAACAAAGTCTCCAATGGAGACGTTACTGGGCCCGCTCGAGCAAATCGATGAACAACAGGAGGACAGTGATACAGTGATACAGTTATTATTATTATTTTCTCTTTTTTTATTTTGGTCACACCTGGCGATGCACTCCTGGCTCTGCACTCAGGAATTACTCCTGGCTGTGCTGGGGGACCATATGGGGTGCTGGGAATCGAACCCAAGTTGGCTGCTTGCAAGGCAAACGCCCTCCCCACTGTACTATTGTCCAGCCCCAATCCCTGATTCTAGACACAACATGGATTCTGTCCCTGCCCATGACCCTGCAGTCCTGACCCTCTCTGCTTCCCCTTGGACACTCATCAGGATCCTATGACGCCTCTAGGAACAGCAGCCACACACCCAGCACCACATGTGTGGAACACTGGCAAAGGGCACAGCCGGGTGTTAGCCCGCTGGGGCGGGGACAGGCCTTCAGGGTCATGCCTGCATTTTTGCTCTTGACCAAAATCAAATGCGTGGCTCGTGTCATCCGGAAAATACATCTGATGCCCAGGAAACATCCCTGGAGGCTGGGCAGGGGGAATCTGAGGTGAGCATCCCAGGCCCCCCAGAACCGAGTCGTCGGCTTTCTAGCTGTGTGGGACCGTGTTTCCGCCCTTGGGGAAGAAACTAGGAGGGAGGTGGAGGTGATCGCTTCAGGTGACATATAGTTGCAGTGACAGCAAAAGTCGTGATGAGCGCCCCACTCAGAAGCTGCGGGTCAGCGTGAAGCAGCCAAGGTTTAGTGCTGACAGAAGAAGCTAAAGGGCAAAGAGCTGTTCATTGGACAGCAAATGCCGATGGCAACCGCCCTTTGCACCCCCTGCATGCATCCTGTCCCAGACAGGAAATCAGTGTTCCAATTCATCACCCATCTGGTTTTTTTCTGGACCGTCTGGCATGGCCCACCCCCCATGAGACCAAACGCTGCATTGACCCAGAGCAGAGGCTGGTGAGACGCTGCCTGGGGTTTCTGGGAACCCCTTAACACCCGAGTGTAGAGTATGGTGTCAAAGAAGGTGCCTCTGGCTGGGAAGGTCTCGGCGTCCCCTCCCCACAGCTGCAGGAAGTGCAGGAAATGCTGTCTTTACCATGTTTAATGCCCCCAGTCTTGGAGGTACCCCTGGATGGCAGGTTCTACTGCCAAGGAAACGCTGGAATTATCTGGCCCCTGTGATCTGCACCTCTGCTCGGGTCTCTGGGGCATGACTCCTGAAAGGGAGGCGGGAACCACTAGTCTAGGAACCTTCTGGATGGTTGACTGGAACTGGGGTTCCTGCTGCGGTGATCGGAATATTCCCTCCACTCCTCATCTCCAAGGCTTCTGAGTTACATTCATTGAAGGAAATAATACTTGGAACTACGATAAAGCACAGACCACAGACAGCAAACACCCCCGGGGGAGGGTCTCACACAGTAGTGCTTGAGTTTAATGTTTGGGGTCATTCTCAGAGGTGTCTGGAGGCCCTTGTCATGCTGAGGGTGGCACCCGGGGCTGTCCCTTTGCCATCTCTCCAGCCTGAGACATACACTTCAGCCTCCAAACCTTTCGACTTACTCTGGGTGGAGAAGGCTGGACTGTCGCTACTTCTCTGATGGGAATATCACAATTGCCCATGGAAAGAAGGAACAGCAGAGAGGGTCTGCCAGCTTGGAGCATCACAGGTCGTGGTGACATTTAGTTAAGCTTGAGTCCAGGACGGTGGCGGTCATGCCTTCCCAGACTGTGTGTCAATCCGGCTCCTCCTGGTTGGGGACAAGTCCCTCGCCTTTAGCACCCATCACATTTAAGTTGGTCTAGAATGAGGATGATTCCGTGCAATCCATGAACTCAATTCCCGAAGGAAACACTCCGTGTTTCCTTGTAAACACTCTGTGGTGGGGAAGCCCAGGAAGGCTCTGGTTTCTGTCATAGGCC